CAAACAATTTCAACTAACTACACTTCCGCTATTTCTTTTTTATAATTCCTTTTTGAATCAGGCGAGAGCAACTTAATCACATTTTGACAAATAAATGGGCAATATGAAGCATTATTATGTCGGTTTCATCTGATCACTAAGTCATATTAGCTACTCATCGCCTGAGGGATTATCAGCGATACTTTTTTCAAATGATAGATCAGAAAGTAATAGTACCAGCCATTCTACACACAGTGATCCTATAAATTTCGCGTTTATAAATAGTTGCTGGGATACATCAATATTTACTAGATCGATTATAGCACTTAATCGAAACTTTGATGCATGAAATTCAAGGAATTGTTTCACAAATATTGTGAATTTGAAATTTTAGGGAAAAGTTGGAGTATGGGAAACAAAATTTGATGAATATTAAAATGAAATTCAATAAACTGAAGACTTTAAAATGCAAGTTTGAGAAACCTTGCTCACTATCTTCACGTCGTTTATATGACACATTGAGACGTCCGTGAAAAGTTCTATAAATGTTGCAAATTTCAGCACCGTTAACTTTAACTCTCAAAATTGATTCAGAATCTTTCCGTTTCGCATCAAGAATTCGTTTAATATGCAGTGGTGATGGAGAAGTGTGAAATGGAGATTTATCATTCACTGGTATCTTAGCACGTTTCATTCTTGCAGTCCTGCAACTATTAAAAATATTTTATGAAGATAGTATGAAAATACTGCAAGTAACTATTCCGACTGATGCATAATGCCATGAAAAATAATGTTCCGAATAATAAAATATCAAAAAAAATCTATCAAAAAATTAATTATGGCTGGTTCTAGTAAAATTAATTGTGTAATCATGAATACTATCACTAATAATCAGTTATTGCTTTTAAGGCATTTAATAGATGTATTAGAGAAACAAAGGAAAAAGATGTGAAAAACGCTTATGTCAATTATTAAAAATCTTTTTTGCTAATAAGAGAAAATGAAAACTTCAAAATTTGTCAATTGACCACTAAGTATACATACATATGCGCTAAATGCTTGGCATATGTTAAATAGAGTTTAGCATATACAGTAATAAGCAAGAAAAATTAGTTAGTTTGCAAACCATTTAATAAGCAATAAATGAAATTTGAGATAAAATGGCTATTCGCACTAAAGAATTCGCAAGTGTTCACTAAAAAATTGTATACTTTTAAATAAAAAATAATCGGCTTCTTGTACAAGCTTTTCAGATGTTTTTATCAATGTAAATCATTTTAAAGTAAAATATTCAGCCAAAATCTTGCAAACAATGAATGAATTATTATTTATTTATTTATTATTATTACTAATTGTTGTTATTATTATTATTATTATTATTATTATTATTATTATTATTATTATTATTATTTTAAATGAAAAGAATTTAGTGGCCACGAAGAATCAAAAATTTTAAATAGCAAATGAATGCGGAAATTTCAAACAACAGCAATATACTACTAAAATGTTATAACAAAAATGAAAAAAATGTGCAAAAATTTTCGATGGATCTTATGGTACTGTTTATGTACACAAAAAGTATTCTATTCCCGGAACTGAGAAGAACAGGATAGCGTGCACTTTGCAGATGGAATGATACGTCAATACAAATTTGTTAGCTTTTATCCAATAACTTTAACATTATAATATTTAGATTCACTTTTTCTACCTTTGTAGGAATAATTCTAGAATGGAACCCATCCTTATTCATTTTTATTTGGGAATTCATAGGAGAAATTTTTAAAAACCTATCTTAGAAGTCGTTATTGCATATCAGAACTAATAGTTAATATGACAATAAAATTTAGAAAAGACTTAGAGGAAGGCATTAAAATAATCTTCGTGCAACTTCTTGTTCAGATTAATGTCAATAGAATACCCTAATTCGCAATTTCGTGATTCTGTGTAGTTTCGGTAACTCATGTTTCATTTCATTTCAGGTTTTAAGTCTAGCCCCAAGACGACGTGCCGGAATCCAGAACTAGAATGTCTGATATGACTAGTGGTAAGACAAAAATATTACCATATTCGCTTCGGAGACTTTTCATATTAACATACGTACCGCTCTAAAGGCTTACTGAGTGATAGATTTTTTGGCTTAGATTTCTAATAAATGGTGAAAATCGACAAAATAAAAACAGAAAGGGTAGCCAAAAGGAAAAAAAGAATTAAAATGTGTGCCATAAATGTGATAACAAGATGAGTTACTTATCAGTTACATCATCCTATCAAAAAATTTAATCAGCAACAGCAAAACATTCTTTAAAAAGAAAAGATCAGTGACGAGAAAGCAATATTACATCGCCCAGTACTATTATCCTAGCACTACGTTTGAAATTTTATATTTTGGAATATGATCTTGTGCACACGAGCAATTCATTATCTAATTTAAATTACTTCATTTTTTATGTGTACTAATAAATGGTGCTTAAACGCATTCAGATTTAATAATTTTCATGTTAATGACTTCAAAATTGCTGTGATGAGAACTATGGAAAACACAATCAAAAACTTTGTATGCACTATATATTAATTTCGAGTTCATATTAATTTTGATTCCAGTTTTGCGTTCTAATACAAAACTACTTCAGTACTGTTTCCGTATTTCCAAATTAAAAATTCAGAAAATAAAAATTCAAGCAAATAGTTTAAGATTTTTTCTCAACAAATCAATTTTTTTTTTTTGAAATCATGCTGAAAGTTATTTCCGGGAAATTCTAATTTTATATGTAAACATTAGCCATGTAAATGCTAATTTGGTCCAGTGTATCATGAATCATTTGCATATTTTGACTTATAGATGTGTGGTAATCTATAAACGCTAGAAAGGTCAAACGGAACGTCTACCAATTTTTTCGTATACCTCATTGTTCTACTGATTATATTATACTCAAAATTTCCGAACTTGTTCTCTTAAAGAATATAAAATATTGATAAGTAAGTTAAAATGGAACTGAAATAAAATCGAAACCAAATTAAGTTGAGAAAAATCGTATGAATTATAGAAGTTAGTATTTTATGTTTCATCATTTCTCCAACCAGGAAAAATCTTTTAAGGTAGGGAATTAATGAGAAAAATATATTTAATGAAAAAAAAAAAGTAAATAAATATGTGGATCGTTGCTATTCGAGAGAAGAACGGAGAAGTGAGTGACTCTATGTCTGTTATTTCCATCAAGTGCCATCTCTTATCTCAGGATTTGACCGCTTTTACCGTCATTTTATTATCAATGAAAATTTAAGTGATATTTTCACTTACAGTTGACGGATACCAGCTGATTCTAAATTTTGTTTTTATGCTAAGTGAAAATACACTTAATGTTTGATCAAACTAGTTTGTTCATGCATTTTCATTTGATACAAGAATTATTTGGGAGATTAGCAGATAGGATAGCAAAAAAAAGTTACGTGAGGATTAGTACAGACAGCTGATTCTTTTCCTCATAAAAAAATTCAGCGATGATTGTATTATCAGAATTCTCAAAGATTTCAAATTTAAAACTAACACTAAGGAGTACCTTAAACAAAAGGAGATCTTCATTAACCCAATGGGAATAGCAAATTTTTGTGCCATGTAAAAGGCTCAGGTGAGTACAAACAGAGAGAATACAAAAATGCAAGTACTGCAGTACATTAGATATCAAAAACTGATACAAGATATAGTCGTGATATTGATATTATCAATGTTTCATAATTATAATAATTTGACTATAACAAATGAAGGAAAAGTGAAGTCTAGGATCGAAACATCAAAAAAATACTGAGAAAGGAGTAACCTCAACTTGTTATCGATCAGCAATGAATAATTTAAATCCAATAATTGTACATTTCCTCATATTAATAGTAGCAAGACAACTGTATTTTCAAATCAAATTCTTAACTGTCTATATCACATCTCATCGTGTTTTCAATGTACGATTTCAAAAGTTCTTCATGGAAGATAATATTTGTTGTGACTTCATTTACATACAGCGATACTTATGTTTTTCGATGAAAATAAAAGACTAGAGAAAAGGAGATTATGGTAACACAAATAATAGTCTCAATAAAGGTTCAAGCAACGAAATAATATCAAGAAATCAAGTCGTAGTTGTATGGAAACAATAACTTTCCGCATCCGAATTCCTGGTTACAGAAGTACGTTATATCACTGTACGTCAACATTCCTATGTGAATTGACAAACATGAATATTACATCTAGGCGGTTTGTTCTGCTTAAGTTTCACGTCTTCAGAATGGAACACAACTGAACACCGCAACAGGAAACATTAGTGGATCGTCCGATAAAATCAAATGGTAGTGCAGGACGGGAAATGCCGGCCCTCTGTGGGTGTCAGATTTGTGTATTTAGGGCACATCACTACTTTGTTATTAAAATTTCTGTCAATCGAAAAGCACTAAAATGATCCGCCTGTGCTTTTTTTTACCACACGGAAGGTATAGCGCATGCAGTGCGTGGCACTAATTTTTATGTCCTCAGACTTTCCACACGGTAGATTTAATTTCAACCTTCTTCGAGCTCGACTTCCACTTTATTAGTACACGATAACAGTCGAAGCAAAAGTGTGATGTTTTAAAATATCGAAAAGCAAAGCCTGATATTCGTCTGTCATGCAGATAAATCATAAACCGATTAAACATCGCGTTCTAGCAAACTTTATACCTATTGTTCTCCCTGAATGAATGAATTTTATCATTCAGATAAGACAATACTCATACCACAACAAAATTTTCCCACATTATCATTCGCAAATAACTGTACCGCATACTCAAAAGTTGGAATGAAAGAAATTCATGAATTCTACTAGTCAATATAAATTTATGCATCATATTTACTGAGTGGTACAGAAACCACGCCACGCTTGTCAATGGATAAAGTCGCAGTGGAAACAATAAATTGTTTATTCCATAAAAAAAAAATGGAATTATCCATGACTATATTAACATGATTGATGGTCCAAATACTAATCTTCATTTTAATATTACCAGTTGGAATTTTGTGTTGAAGCACCCCACTCCTGCTGTTGTGCGGCATCCAGTTGCACAGCTCGCTCCGTTTCTTGCGCCCAATCACTTACAGGTTCGACCATGCTGAAGTCCAGCTTTTTTGCTGGTTCAACACCACCTATTGTTTGATACTGAAATTAAAATACAAAACTCACAAAAAAATTGAGTCAAAATTTTGGAGGAAAAAAGCATGACGAGAAAACAGTAAAACAAAAGCATTTCAATAGAATTTTTTGAACCCAACACCTTTTTTACGAACGACTGGATTAAATTAGAAAGGAATAAATAAAGTAAAAGAAGTAAAAAAAGGAACTAAAAAAAATACCATTCCAATGGATCTTACAACCTCATCAATTTTTGCGACCTCAGGAGGCGGAACCCCAGGCCAAGGCTCTTTTACTTCACGCGGTTCTGCCAGTTCTTCCTTCTCTTGTTCTTCTGGATTGCGGTAAAAATATAAATCAGGCATGATTTCCTTGTCATCAAGTACAAACCCTGTCTGCCGTGTCATCTTTCCCTTAATAAGCAAAACTTCACGAGCCAATAGCCACCACATTAGTCCTATTGATTGCACGCCCTGTAAACACAATCATGCAAAGCAGAATATGATGATTAAATTCTTGAAATCTGGAAACATGATATGTTTATATTTCAAAGAAAAGTAAGCAAAAAAAGTTAACGCAGCATCTAATACAAACCTTATTATTGCACGGTATTGCAATATCAATGAATTTTAGAGGTGAGTCAGTATTACAAAAGCTAATTACTGGCACACCAACATACGACGCTTCCGTTACCGCTTGGTGATCAACCCGAGGATCCGAAACAATCAGCAAACGTGGTTCCTGAAATCGAAAATTAAAATTTTTCACTGTGCTGGAATAAGATTCACGCAACCCAAATCTTCCAAGATAAATAAACATTATCGATGACCTTGAACTAAATGAACACTATCAATTTCATTCAATAACTGACTTTAAACTGCTTTTGGATTTGATTGGTTAAACAGCCCGGTGTGAAACGTCCAAAAATCGGCGTAGAACCGGTGTGGGCTGCAAATTTGAGCAAAGCACGTTGCGCATATGGACGTGCCGATACGACACACACATCTCCAGGATTGTCGATGGCAGCAATTGCACGGGCAGCAAGTAATAGTTTTTCCCACGTCTTTCGTAGATGGATGATGTGAATACCTGAAAACCATATTTTAAGTAACTTAAAAGATTTCACCAAGCTTCGTTAATTACATGAATAATGGTAGAAGTTTGAAGGCTTAATTGATTACACAGACGTTAGGTGCTTGCAATAAAACGTGTGTAGCGTAAAATGTTCAAATTATGCACAATAATATAAACAAACCGTCAGCCCTCCTTTTCCATACGTACTGCTCCATTTGAAAGTCGCAGTTAGCGGCACCCACATGAGTTTGACATGCCAAAAGTTTTATAGCATCCTCTTCTTTCAAGGCAAACGTTTCTAATCCAGCCGACATCGTCAAAAATTGCTCCACCTGCAACATCACGGTAAAACTAGTAACCTTAGCCACCAGTGCCATCCTCGAACCCCGGAAACTACACCAACCAATGCAATGTTTATTTTTTAGGTTTTTTAGATTTTTGTTATAATGATGTTTTGGTTTTATCCCCTAATGCAACTTTCCATCCCAAACTTAGGAAAGAAAAGGCTCCTATGTGTTTTGTAGTTTAGCCTATACTTCATTGATTCATTGAGTTAGTTTTTCTCACTTGTAACTCATCGAAGTATCTGACTGATCTGTAGATCACAGACCACCATAATTCATCGTCGATATTCACTGAGTTTCTTGTCAGTTAGTGGCTGATGAAGTTTCGACAGACATTTTTGGTATCAACAAGACTGTGAAGCATTGGTTTTTATCGCACTGCAAAGGTGCATAAGAAACTTCCTTTAATTCTTACTGATCCATTAATCTTCTTTTTTACATCAGTTGCACTGGGTAGCAAAATTAATAGATTTTAGGAATTCGAAAGTGAGATAGCAAGCATTGGCTTGGTTACCCTTTGATATTTTTGCAAAAATTGACATAAAGTATCTAAAAGTAAGCACTGTAGCATCTTTTTGCGTTTTTGCTTTATTTCGACTAACCTAATGTCAAGTTTTGGATATTTTTCCTTGCAGTGTGTCGAGAGATCTTACTGATTTTTACGGCAGTTCGATAATAATTAAGGATTCATTTCTAAGAAAGCCTTCGAATAAGAAAAACGAAGATTCCATTTTTCTTCAGTAAGAACGAAGATCCTATTTTTTCTCTTAAGATTAAAAATTGAACTTATTGCCTTCCAAGCGTTAACTATAGATTTTAATCACTTTCATTCCAGGATTCTCTGCAAGAGAATGGTATTCCGAAGCATATTTCAACAGCATTTTCTGCTTATTAGGAGCAAAAGGGTTACTTATGCTTATTTTATTGTATTTCATCTAACTACTTTATAACTATATAACAGTCTAAATGCACGAAAAAAAATTATCTTCAAGTGGTCCCGTTTCAAGCTGCTTCTGAAACTGTTCTGATATGCTTCTAGCTTTCTAGAATTGCAGTGACTCTTCTTTCTCTTTCCAGTTGTTGTCGGGTGGATTTGATGAAATACTGACAAAAAACATAAGCGGCAAGCTAATTGTGACGTTAAATCGACCGAGGACTCTAAATGCATTGAACATCAGCATGGTGCGCAAATTATATCCGATGCTAAAGGTCTGTTGTAACATTTGTTTAGAAGTGCAATTTGTTGGAGTAGTTCTGTAGTTTTGTATTAATTTTTGTGCTCCGTTATTAAAACAGTCTAGCAAATGAAAAAGCAAAGAAGAGTACAGTGATTTCGGTTATTCAAAGAAATTGTGCTGAAATCTATTTGGACTCCAACTACTCATCGAGCACATCCTTGCTGTGGAAAGAACAAATTTCTTGATTCTTCGTAGCTTGTCAAAGTCTTATCTGCAGGTTCTGCTGCTGAAAGACGCATGCTTTTATGGGATTTATTTTCCATGTTCAGAACGGTCATCACTACCTCAACGCCTTTGGGACCTGCAACCCACATGGATCGTCTTGTATACTTCAGAGTTTCAAGGTGCGGGAATTTGAGTTGAGCAGCTGCAGAATGAATAACTATTTACAATTCCATTCTTATGGTCACAACCTATTTATCATTAGACAGAGGTAGTGTAGTGATAAACCTTTTTTCAGAAGTGCGACAGTGATTCAAGTGTACCGTTTATATTTGTCAAAGGAACAGGTGGCAAGGCGTTTTGTGCTGGTGGCGATATTGTTGGTGAGTGTAGCTTTCATTCTAATCATTAATATTTCACTTATTTCTGGTAATTTTGCTTCTATCTGTCACTTAATTAAGTGATGGAAGCACTTCTAAATTTTTTAAAAATTTTCGTAGCTGTATCACGTTCTGCGCAAGCAAATGATCCATCAAATACGGTGCACAAAGATTTTTTTCGCGAGGAATATGTGATGAATTATTTGATCGGTGTCTTAAAGGTACCATATATCGCTGTTATGGATGGTATAACAATGGGAGGAGTAAGTTCGTTATGTCCAAAGATTTTTCGTTATCGGTGTCATTAATTTGCTAAAATATTGCTCCCATATTTCTTGTTCATTTCACCCCATTTAGTTAACAAGTTTTTCGATTATGCCATTAAAAATAATTTTCTAGCTTTATACGTTGACACTGGAAATAAATTGTTTAATACTCAGTAAGTTTAGAGTTAATTTTCTGCTGTTGTCATGTCGTCTCTAAAAATTTATTAATTTAATTTTGAAAAACAGCTATTGCTCTAAAATAGGTCCGGCACAGCTAATAGCAGATTTTCATAAATTTGGAGGGTTGTGGTCTTTCTATCCATGGAAAGTACAGGATAGCAACAGAACGAACAATGTTAACAATGCCTGAAACTTCTATTGGTTTCTTTCCTGATGTCGGAGGTACCATAATTTTTCCGTTTTATTATCACATATTTTATTCCTTTTCTTTTTATAATGTTCGGTTCTCGAAACAGCAATATATTTGATATTTTCAGGGACTTTTTTCTTGTCACGATTACCATACAATTTGGGTCAGTTCATGGCTCTTACAGGATATCGACTGATAGGCGCCGATGCTTATCATATGGGTCTCGCTACTCATTTCGTAAGCTTTGATGGTATTCGGATTTGCACTATGATCAATATAATTATGATGAAATTTAATTTTCACTTATTGGATTTCTTTTAGAACCTCGACTCTCAAACAGCAATCACACTTTATGGACTTTTTCAAAAAGTCGTATTTCTTTGGTAAACTTAGGGATTTAATTCACTTCAATTTTTAGGTTCCATCAGAAAAACTGAAGAATCTTGAAGACGAACTGCTCAGGACGGATAATAAATTGCTTTCTGCAGAAAAGATAGATTATATTTTGAATAAATACCACATGAAGGAAAGTGAAATACCCAAGTTTGGTCTTGAAAAACGGCTCGCACAAATTAATTATTTATTTAGCGGGAGTACAGTCGAATCGGTTTTCAAAAAACTGCGAAACAATAATGATGATTTCGGCAACAAACTATTCAATATTCTTAGCACAAAGGTTTTTTTTTTAGCGCTTTATTAAGTTGTTTAAATTTAAGGGACAGCTGAAATAGCACCACTATCTTAGAAGAGTACAAACAAAGATAATTATTTGCATTTGTGGATGAATAATTCAGAGCCCAACATCACTGAAAGTAACTTTTCGGCAATTGCAAATTGGTTTGAAGATGCAATTTCCTGAAGTTTTTACAATGGAATATCGTCTTTCTCAACGTTTCATGAAAAGCCATGACTTTCATGAGGGTTGCAGAGCAAGTACTTTTTTTAATTTTCTAAAAATTATGACAAATTTTTTAGAAGATGAAAGTTATAAGTCAACTTAAAGGTCCAAACTTTTTTCCAGGTTGTAATATGGATTGTGTATTGCTTTGTTTTTCTTTGTAAGCAAATTTCAGTTCTTATCAATAAGGATCAAAAACCGGTGTGGAAGCCTGCTAGTATAGAAGAAGTTACGGATGAAATGATGGATGAGTACTTTGCTCCTCTTCATGAGGATGAAGAATTGATTATTAAGGAATTTGAAACTTAAAATTTAATTTGTAGAACTGTTATATTCTTTAACATTTTTTTTTTTTTTTTTTGCAACTTTTACAGATAAGACATTATTTAGGTCAAACATTTGTGAGGATTTGTTCCTAGAACTATAGCATTTTTTCATTTAGAAGCGAGTTTTTAACAGATTTCGCACTTTGTATTCTATTTAAATTAGTTAGAAACATTATTTAAATTGATAAGGTGGTTTTGCATGTTTGTTGACTGCAGTATGTTCTCTGTCTGGTCCATACATGAAAAGGTATTAAAACCGTAATTATTTTTTAACGTCACGATCCGTAGACGGATGGTCGACTTCATAGTAATCCATAGTTTCCACTTAGAATAATTAAAAAAAAAATTAAAAAAAAAAAATCCATAGTTTCCACTTAGAATAAATTAGAATAATTAATCTGCATCATTCGCTGTCTTTCATATAGTGGGGTACTGTTTTTGCAGTAACTTCCAATTCTTCAGAAATATAATCCCTTCATTTTTATTGAATTTGAATCATAATGATTATATTGTGATTTTGTGACATTACTATCGATCGGGTGTGTCCACCAAATAATAGGGAAGCTTTCCCTTCAGAATTTGAGAGATCTCTTTATTTTCATACTATTGATATTTCATTTTTGTGATATTGCCAAGTTGTCGTAAGTTTCGTTAATATTCAACTGTTCAGGAGGCTTTAGGATGTGTTAGAATGAATTCACACGGCAGAGTATGGTTAGACTTGAGGACTCTTGTTCGTAAATTTTTGTAGCTAACAAAAGCATAGTTTTTTCTTTTTTTTTCTAAATCTCAGTGCGATATTCTACCTATGGGTATAAAACATAATTATTGTGCTTAGCAATTCTTATATACATAAACATTTCTTTTACAACAAAAAAGTCAAATACTAATAAGATAAAGTGCTACTTTGGAACAATTGAAGAGTTCTTTGTACTCGACCTTCTCCAATGAATAAATGAGGAGCGTGGTCGGCTTCGCATAAATAAGCGGAAGGGCATGCAGAAATTATAACATTGAGGAAGCTATAGAGAACACATAGGGGGCGTGTCTCAAAAAATTTTTCTAATCTAACAAAAATCAAGAGATGAAAAGCGCAACCTGTACAGAACTGAAGTGGAAATTGACTTCATGAATAACACATAAAACCTAGTTGGCCGCACACAGAGAGGCAACTTCAGACCTTGCTGACACGCTTTTAAACGAAAATTAGGGTAAATAGAAGTGGAAACTAAATATTTCGTATTTAATATCACCCAGATAAACATTTTTCAATCTAAGTAATTTATTTCATAACCGTTTGGTTTTCATATTTAGAATATTATATAAAATACTTACAAATAGAGATGCCCAAAGAGAAAAATATCTTTACAAGAAACTGACTAATCACGGCGAGGATCTTATGTGAAGACCCATCGTGATTATGTTATTCACTGGGAAATATTCTTCAGAACATAAAATTGCATGAAAAATCAGTCAAAAGAATCAACAAATGCAGTAAAAACAAATGAACGAGGAAAAGTGGTTTTAGGTAAGGATTTCACAAAACAATAGAAGCGTTAGAAGGACTGTTCCGTCTTCATTATTTTTATAAAACAGACAATCACCGTATTGTAAATCAAAAAAAAATATCAAAAACAGACATAGTACATTAAATTATTATCCCATCAGAAATGTAATTTAAGAAATCATGAAAGCTAGTGTAATAATCCCGCATAATTACTACATGAAACATTCACTACAAAAGGACGCTTTTATACAAGCTAATACAAGACGTGATTGATAATTAAGCTTCTAAAGGTGTTTTGGCACTTAAATGACCAAAAGACAAGTTAAAGTAAGGAAATGTTATCACGTAAGTAGGACTTGTTTTAATTTACAGTACTTAGTATTCAATTTCAATATCACACTGAGGTTTAAGGAGAGAAAAATAAATGTCTGAACTGCTAAGCCGTATCATCAGCTCACTGAATTTTCATTAGCCGAATTCGTCTTATCCAGATGAATGACGAACTGTTGTGTAGACTTCACGCTTTCAGAACAATCCTGCTCATTCGTTACTACAATATTCATCGTGTCTTGTTGTGGCGCGAGCATCTCCTGAAATTGCCAGGAAAATGGAGCCGACCATAACGAACCAAAAAAGTGAATATGAAGAAATTTTTAATGGGCTTAATTACAACTACTAGAACATTAAGAGTTAAGACGGATCATCAGAAACTTGACGGAATATCATATATTCCAAAACACAGCGTTTCTATCTTAATTGTGCAGACCATTATGCTAATATGTTACCTCAGGAATAAACATAAGCACTCACTAGTCACGATAAGAGAACATCAGTCAGCAAAAATAAGATTAACATAATAAGAATAAGAAATCAGAAAATGAAGAACCTAAAAAAAATTTTTTAAATAGGACCTAAAAGTTATAGAACTAATAAACCTAATAAATTCTTAATACACTTCTATAACTCAAAAAAGAAAAAGTGAACTAAATGCATTAGGAATCAAAACTGTTACCTCATTCGATTCAATTGCAACAGGAGATGGTTGTGGAGTGACATATGTTTCACTCTCCACACTGGCTGCATCACCACCCGCAGAACCAACAGGCTTTCGTGAACAACGGGCTATATATGCTTCTGGTGTGTCTTCTTGTAACAAACAAACCAAAACTGCTGTCATGTTATCGCATCCAAGACCTCCCATTTGACAGTCTGGTGCTAAACACCTCGAAAGAAGTTTTTCACAAATCTAAAAATCATAAGATAATCAAATTACATTAAATTGTAGTAATGTGAAAAGAAACCAAAGAAAATACAAGCCTTCCAAAGTCTCGTTAAACTTACAAACAATATTACTAAAAGCAATCAACTTCTGCATGAATGCAGTAAATAACTCCTTTCGACTATCATAAAAGACGATCATTCATTTGGATATTAAAGAAATATAATTAAATATAATTGAAGAAAAGTGAAAGAAATATAACTGAAGAAAAAGATAACTAGAGACAAATAATATAAGATATAAAAGCTCTACACATACATGTAGAATTAAAGGCCATTTGCATTCGGACTTTTTTCTTTGACATATGAATCGAAATGTTATAAGATTTGAATATTAAGAAACATAACAAACACTATCGTTGCCAGTGCTGCTTCACTAATAACATGTAGCCTGATCATTATATTAACAGAAGTAGAACACTAAGAATGCGGAAAAAAACTATATGAAATAGAGGAAAAGAAAAAGGGAGTGAGAAAAAAATGAGAATAAAAAAAACTTCAGCAATTTTTTCCAGTGCTGGTTTTGATATCGAAATTTTTATGGGATAAGATAAAAAAAATGACTTACTGCTTCAGGTTCACAACCAGCAGCCAGTTTATCTCTGCAAAACTCTACAACTTCTTGGTTTGACATGACATCCCAAATCCCATCACAAGCCAATATAATAAATTCATGATCATATGTCAAATCACACACCGTAACATCAGGGCATGCTTAAAACATAAGTTTTGAGAACTGTATATATATTTTAAAAAGCTAACTTTTGAAACAGATGGTGGAACTTTACTTACACTTTATCTATCCATTTTTAAAAAGCTTTGCTGGAAAAAAATCACAATTAATTGAAACAATTATTTAAAAAGATTCCGATGATTAAAATCAAATTGTCGTACAAAAATTAACAAACGTACCAGTCACAATTTGCTCTTCCGCAGATTTATGATCGTTTTTTTTAAATGCAAAATCACCCAAAGCCCTAGATAACGCCAAATTACCGTTTACACGGTCAAATTCAACCCAACCACCAGCAGCGACTATTCGCCTCGCTTCGTTCTCATTAGCTGGCTTATGGTCAAAGCTTAGTGGATATGCAACACCACTAACACATGCCACAGCTCTTGAATCACCCACATTACCTGCAATGCTATGTCTTTTTAACTCTCTAAAAATGAAACATTACAAAAGAGGCATCAACAACTGCTATCCTTTTGAATTTGGAATTTGTATCAAAAAATAAAAGGACCCTCACAAATTGAAGACACTGGAAGAACTGAATAACAACAAAACTTTCATATGATATTAATGGCAATTCTAATTAACTTACCACAATAAATTTTCTTGTTTTTAATCAGAACAACTACTGCGGTTGTACCTGACATATCATCCCGCATTTCATCGTCGTTTCGCATTTTCTCATCCAAAGCCAAAAAACCTTGTTTTATCGCCTCTTCTATGTTCCCCTCTACTGTAAAATACTCAAACTGTAGCATAATATTATGTCTATGTAGAAGAAAAAGTATATTAGGAAGACAAATTAGAAGCACTGGATCCTTTACAAAAAGTTTCATGCTCTAAAATAGAGTTTTAATAAAAGATCAAGAGATTTGAACCAGAATGAGACGACTGCAAATGTGTATTTCCATTCCATTCATACCTAACAACTGACCATAATGTGCGTTAGTGGCGATAAGTTTATGAAGGTGAATGCCGGCATATTGTGATACTCTGGCACCACCGTGACCATCGTAAACTGCAAAAAAAGCTGCTTGAGTATCGTCTGGTATGGCAAGCAGATGAATATGAGCATCTTCCATATCTGCAAAATTTAATCCGCTGCTAAATTTAGCTTTAAAAAAGATCGGTAGACGACGACAAACGAACATTTATTTTATTAATTGCAAGTCAAATTTGGATAAAAACTTACTGATTCTCCATCCTTGCATGCATGAGCTACCTATTTTATAGGACAGATTAGCGCAGGAGGCAGTTTCCTTTGTTGTCACAGGTTCACTCAATGTCTGGCCCATTATTATATCTGCAAATATTCAACTGGTCTAAATTAAAAAATGGAGATAAATGGATTTGAACCAACAAAATCAGAAAATTCCGCTTATCTTCTACTTTAAATATCATTCTAACGATAGACCACCTTTGAACAAATAGATCGAGGTCTCAAAACACCTCAAACATTCTCAAACAGCTCACCGATTATTGAGCTGTTCCTAAATGTAACATCTGCAATGATATGTATTTATGACAGGTTTTGCGACAGTATGAATGATTGTGTGGTAGCACGGTAAAGTGAGATACTACAGCTTCATAACAGCAAGATAAAAGAAGGACAGATACAGAAGCAGTCTGGGTCCGTATACCTGAACATAGTTCACAGCAATTATCACTACTTACATAACGTCCACTGAATGACGAACTCAACCGAAGTTTCTCGTGCTTCCTACTATGAAACCAATTATGAACCAATCCAATCGTAAGCTTGAAGCCAGCACGCTGCTAGCTTTTAGTAAATTTAAAATGGATTAACCAAGAAAAGGATATATTTTAATCCACGAAAGAAGTTGACGCTGCCTTGTGATAATCAAAAATCGGTGTATGTCCAAATGAATGTCATTTGGTGATCTTCGAAATCACCTTATCCAACAAGATTTCCACCCTGATCAATGAAGAGTGCGCAGCTCCGTACCTCTCTAACGTTCCATCAATAGCCTTCATCATCCCTATCGGAAGTATTAGCCAGAAAAATGTATGAATGTACACAGAGTAGATGCATACCCTCCCCTTCAAATAGTATTGACGACTAATAGGAGCGTTCTACAAGTTCTACAATTCTTATCTTAAAAAAAGAAACTGCAATGCAATTCTGTTGGACTAAATTTATTGCTCCATCATGTTTTACAACGCGATTTTTCCCTGAAGTCAACTTACAAAACAAGATCGCAATGACGCAAAGCACAGTGACCGATTTAGATTCATGCACCAAAGACAGAGATGGAAGTGAGAAGATTTTAGAGATCGGATAGAATCGTACAACTGATAGACATTTCTTAAAAATGACTCTACACAAGTAACGAATATATTAGTCAATTTATGCACAAAATGAGTTAATGAGATCCTTCAGTAATAATGAGTTAATGATAAACGAAGATCAGGCACATATTTCAGCTGAGAGTCTTGAGAACGAATACAAAGAAAATGATCCATAAAGATTGAAAAATTTTTTCTATCACTTAAATAATATATGCAAAGCCTAATGAATTTCCAGCAATTCAAACTATTCATTTTACTTCAAAGGGCTAAGTAATATGCAAAATAGAATTACTAGTAGAAGTTCAATAGTCAGAATCAAAAAGTTATATCAAACATTGAGAGTTTCGATCAGCTCTGCTTTCCAACAGCTGAATTACGATTCCCACAACGTACAGCAGAATTATTTCGTGTACGGACAACATTCAAGCACAGTCCTTTTGTTGCTTCACATCTGCGTCGTTGTGTTGCACTGAATATGAATTCCATGAATCAAGTGAATTAAACAAAAATGAAATGTATATAAGTAAGGTAAATGTGTAAAATCTCTCTCAAGTTTTGTGCTATTAGTAATAATTTTACTACAAATGAATATAAAATTATTTTTGGTTCAACATATTCCCTTTTATAAATCTTCTAATTTACCTTACTTGTTGAATACGTTCTCCAATTTTTTTCTCTTTTGAAACTTTCCCTAAAAACACAATCAAAATAAACACAGAAAGATCATCAATAATGATAAACTGCAGATACTCAACTGAAGAGATACTATTAAAATCTAAGTGTAAGCGAACCATTAATGTATTTCGGGGTACTAAGACGAGTAAAAAAGGCGTCAACTTCAGCAGCAGTTCTTCGACCTTCAACACCTTTTGTCTTTTCAGATGAGCAAGCTTTCATTACTGGAGATGAGGATATGATGATAGGTTTGCTCTAAAAATACAACAAATCTAAAGCTGTCTATAAATATCTCATCCTTCTCTCTAAATTTTGGAAATAAAAAAGAAAACTAATACTTCTCCTTGGACTGAAGGCTTTTCAATTTATAAATTAAACATACTTTGAAGATTAAAGGAGACAAATTTGGTACATCGCGTGCCACTCCCATGCCAGCTGAAAATTTAAAATATTTGTATCAAACATATGAACCATGTCACTTTCTGAACGGTCTGATCACTGTATTATTTGATGACTGTCCTATTACGAACAAATAAAAACTTGCCATTTGAATTACGTTCCATTGAATCGCCTCCTCTTGCACATTTTGTAACTGCAATACGGAACTGCTGCTCAGTTTCAAGCGGTGGCAAACGATCTAAATATTTAACTACACTCATTACTTAAGCAGATGTGTTGAAAACCAACTTAAGAATGAAAATACTCAATCTTCTAAAGCACATTCTTGAAAACCATATTTCATAATCGAGCACTAATTACCGCTACAATTATGCACATAGAGTGGATCAGAAGGTTTGCAGTTGCGAGTTCGACTTCGTGGCTGGTGTTCTGCCAAGTGTAAATTCACCTAGAAAATTGGGGAAATGGGATTAAAAATCCATTTAGTAGAAGATACAAGAAAGTAAAGCAAACATGCAAATGAAGATTTCATCTAAAATTATTTATAATTATTTTGAAATATTATATATTTCAAACAAAAAGGATCTTAAAAGGTTACTTCTGAAGCACAATCAGTAGCATTTTCTCTATCTTCCATGAAGGTTCCTAAAATATTTCTAGATAATGAAGATGATGGTTCATTCACTTTACCACTTTCTCCAAATGAAATCCTCTCGTGTCCATATTCACTGTTCAACGGATTCTCTTTAATCAATGAATGGTTATCAATATCCATACTGAAACAGAAACATGACCGCTTTAATTAATCATAGCTGACTAACGAAAAGACACACAAAAATGTTGGTAAGTATTCTATGATTCAGAAATGATAAACATGAATTTAAAAGGAAATGTTACACAGCTATACACAATACGCCACCTAAAAGCGAGAAGCAATAAATCATTACAACTTGAAAAACAAAAAAAAATTACTAGAAAGAAATAAAGGAGTACTAAAAAATCTCTCTTCGTTACTATTAATCAATTAGTTAAAGAGAGCAAGGAAAGGAGAGGGAAGTGAAAGACAGAGAGATTAGCGAATAGCTGAGATGATGTTATAGAATAATTCAGAAAACACAGAAATGTCCTCACGATCGAAGTTGACCTCTGACCAACTCTCTATCGCAACAACAATCGAAGAAAGAAACAAAACAATAGCAGAAAGTGCCGGGAAAACTTTAAACCGAAAGGGGCGTCTCGGTGTGCAACGAGCAGTCCCTCCGTTTAGGAATGATCATGGGATGAAAACTGGAATTTCACCATATCATCTACAAGAAGTCACTCAATATCATCAGCAACGAAGTGCTTGCTTGCTTCCTGGTTTAAAATGGTCCATTACTGTTTCCTCCCTGCCTTATGGTTATATCAGTTAGAATTGAACTATCTCAGCTTATCTGCTCGTTGGTTATTTACAGCGGTTTAACGAATTCTCCTTTGATGGAACGAAATGTTTTTATTGGAGGAAATGACACGATTTGCTAGAAATACTAACATTCATTAAATGCTCTTTATATCCATTTCGAGAGATTTAAACATTTCTGAAGTTTTCCATTTAGCCATTTTCTGCCACTTCACGTTTTTCATTTTACACATACATTTTATCACAAGATAAATATATATTTTACTCTTTTCCATAAACAAACATGCAAAGTAATAAAAATCTGTCATAGCAGAATAAACTGTTAGTGATGCAGCGGAAGTAAATAAAAATCTTCATTACAACATTAACTCTGCTGACAGATAATAAACTAATTGTAACAGATTAAGTTAATAAACTCAACATTTCACAATCTGTTCCCGAAATTGAAAATTTTGAAACATTTTTCTTCAAATCTTGGCACATCTGGATTTTAATTTCCAAGCTTGAGAGAATTTTGTAGAGTTCAGTTAAGTTCAATATAGGAACAAAATGAAGAATAAAGTCATACTTTCAAGCATTAATCACACGTGCCAGCTTCTGTATACGATTCAGGAGAATATCACCATCCCTAAAAAGAAAAAATATGCCTGAGAAATAACTTCACATAACATAAAGCTCTGTTAAAATTGAGATTCCATTATTAAATGAAATACACTTCAGGGATTTAGACGCAACAGCAGGAAAATTACAATAAAGCAGAAAAACATACTTAATAACGCTGCGATACAGATGATTTTTAGTATCAGGATGATTCATTATTATGATTCCCCTGACAGCATCTATCCTGCAGTGCAGCTGACCAGTGGCAATCAGTCGATGTAATTCTTTGTCAATAAATGTTTTCGAAACACCGAAATCTTTTGCCATCATATCTAAACGAACCTAAAACGGAAATCATTAACTGCACCGCAGTTTTCTCGAAGATATTTTAAGTTTAAAATTTAAGTTTAAGCAGCAATAAGTGCAAATTAAAGAGACAGTTTGAGTGGCACATAAATGTACATTCCTTATCACCTTACATACTTTACAGATTCAAGTTTTTTACTGAAACTATGAATAGGGAGAAAAAAAATGATGAGACTAAAGCATACTGTTTTGTAAGGAGTAAGGAATTGTTCGTAAGCTTTGAGACGCATTGCTCTCGAGTAAAAATTATAATGTGGTGCTAAATAACGATCAAATTTTAATTTCTCTCTTTCTAGTTTAGCAAGCACCACGAACAATTCATCATATCTGCATCCGTAAAAAGCCTCCAAATATTGCTTTACAGAAGTCAATTCATTGTTTTCACCACCACCAGTAAGCTAAATATAAAAATTGCAATGAAATTTGAAAATACTAATCAATTCAATATAGTTTTAACATTTTTTTAACACAATCGCTAATCAATAAAAATCGGCAATAAAATAATATTTAAGATGAAAGTGACAAATGAAATGTAACTGAGAAACTGACTTGCTCTTGGATCTCATTGCATCGGATAACTTTTGTGCGCAGATCAGGACGTTCTAACGCTGAAAAAAGCTGGTGTGTTTAGTTAGATTCCATGTTTAAGAAAGACTTTTGTCAATGAAAAAGTGTGGAAAGTCATATACTTACCATACACAGCCGAAATAACTGTATAAAATATAAGCTGTTCATAGGTCATAAGTTCGTATGAACCAAACGTTGGCACAGCTTCCAGAAAAAGGGCTGCAGCTCCTTTCAAATCTCTCACCGACATCTTATAAAGGCCTTCATAGGATCGAAGACGATTTTTTCGCTCCCAATCTCCGCCCTAAATTCATTTGCTCATAAAGTATGCCAACATCAACCTAAGCGGTGTAAGACCTAGACTAGTTTAAGTGGTAGAACTTTGTCTACTGTAGGGATGTCCAGCAAGGAATTTAAACTTTGTAAAAACTGCTAAAACCTGTTCCATAAGATTCTTTGCTTTAGCAATATTAGCATTGATTAATTGATGATCCAAAAAGAAGAGGCCAAGTCGAATAAGATTGAAAATAAGATCAATTCTATAGCCGATTCCAACAGTTTTCTCATATGTTTGGCTAAACGATGCAACCGCTGCGTCTTTGTCACCAATTTTACATAAATATTCGCTTTTGCGAAGGTAAGCCTGCCGCACTTCACTTTCTCCTGCAAAAAAAGCACATACACAGTAAAACTAATATTTTTAATATACTTCTTCTCTTCTAAAGGTTACCCGTATATCATTTACCACATACTAAAATACCTAAGTTCTGTTCAGCATCTGCTATCTCATCGTTTATTTCTTTCAAACGCTTCTCATTGGCTTCTTTTAAATCGGTAAATAATGATTCATTCATGGTGGTTCCAATGTCGGTACAAACGAGTTTGTAATATGGTCCCATTTCATTTTCCTTGATAAGCTGAAATTTAAAGAATAAGCAAAATTAAAAATCTAAATATAAACAATGACACCACAAATGTTTGCAACATAAGGCGCTAACCTCAATAAGTTTTTCCCAGCTATCCTTCTTTACCTTTGAATCGATATCAGGATGTGATAGAAGAAAACGAAGTTGTGCAATATCCAAATTCGGTATCTTTGAAATTACCTAAAATCCAATTTCAATGTTTTTGAATAGGAAGGATTAACTGTCAGACACAACCAGTATATAATATAATAAATTGAAGTACCCACAAACCACTGTAGAAAGGACTAACTTTTCTAGCTCGACCTTTAATTACATTAATTTTGCAACTCACTTCCTTTTCAACATCATCGATCAGCTGCTTTGTTGTGTCTGGAGCTTTTTCAATCATCTACAAGGAATACGATATAAAAACTCAAAATTCATATTCCCGTTTTCTGTAGAGCTTCCATGAACAAAATGTTCTCATACTCTATTATCAAAATCGGTTGTGCCAAGTAGAGGTCACGATAACTCGTATAATTTAAATCTCGTACATAAATTACTTTTAATGTGATACTTGATAATGAACGGCAAAAATACATCTGATAACTAAAGCTCATAAAATCATCAATCTGAAGCAACACATTTAAATACACTCCAATTTTCCAGATGTGGAATCTTTTCATAACACTGAGAATCTTGGAGCGCCATATAGACTCACACAACTTTCTCATATTTACTACCCTACCTATAAACATCCTTGTCCTTGTTTAAAATCTCTAGTCGTTAGACAGTCACTCCTAACAAAATTACAAACTTGCAAAAATTTTCCTTCATATTACGAATTCTCAATTACCACTTTAATGTGGAATAAAGGTAAAACATGTGAAAGATGAATTATGTCTTGTAAGTAGCAACTAAAGTCAATAAATTCCGGAAGTGTACAATTTTAAACGCTTTAAAGTCATCGAATACGACTATAAATCTAAAATTACATGCTCTAAACAACAGTTAACAAAAATATAAGAAATTAAAACATAAAATAAATCAAAAGTCCAGTGCATTATAATTAAGCGAAAATCTGTTCCACTCTAAATCATCTGCTGTCGCATTTTTCTGAGATAACTTCTCAAACCAATTCCAAGTTGTTTGGCTTCCTTAGCACGCAATTCCAGTATTTTTTCTGTTTTCATTTTCTGCAAATTAAAACATGTGAAGACATGAATCTGATGAGCAAGAGCAGCATTTTCTCAGAAAATAAATCATATATCAATAAGTGATCACTTGTAATGAAGTGATAAATGCAGTAAATACAATTACTTCAGGTCGATTTCCCAAAAACATGTGTTGCATAAATTCATTCATGTGGAATAAAGGTAGAACTCGTGCTACTCGTGATATAACCGTGCAGATTACGCGCTTTGACGAAACAAACCCAAAAAATATTGTATGTTTGGTTTGTATAAGCAATAAAACCGTTACAAAGCCCAGAGACTGACAATATAGGAATATCTGATAATATGTAAAAAAAAAATTACCTCAACACCCCTGAGTTGTCGTTTATTTGAAATAAAAGCAAGTAACTGCTTCAGTTCTTCATCAATAATACTTTCGGCCAATAGTTCTTCTCTCCCCTTCATAAGGGTTGTGGTTTGTATTGATGTGCTATTGCACGCAACACTTTTGGATATTTCGTTTGACATCATTTTCATATCAAACTGATCGTTATGTACGGCCAAATTTTTTATATTGTCAACGACTTCTATACACTGACTCATACCAGATTCTGACTCTGCTGTTTCACATTCAGCTTGATTTCCTAATGCTTCGCTTTGAAAGTTACAAATTTCATTCTTAGAGAAAAATATATTCATCTCAGTTTCCTTTGAACTATTATGAGAACCATCTGCTACGCAAAGCACCCTCCTGCTTTTGCTTGTTTCCTGATCGTCAGTTTTGTTTGAAGAGAACTGCTTTTCATATGTAATTGTTTCTGCATTCTCGCATACTTTTTTTTGTTCACTTACATTCCCGTTCCCGTCATCCAACATCTGCCCAACTAAAAGTTCTTCAAAACAATATTTTAAATGAATTAGTAGATTATGTCAAAAGATTGTCATTATATTTATGAACTAAAATTAACTCTTAAGCTATCACAAACATACAACATAATTTGAGAACTATACAAAGCACGGTAGTTTAACAATGCAAAATTACCGCAGGATATCTCATTCTGATTACCGCCACCATGGAATTCTTCATTTCGGTTATCATTGTGATCGTTCTGAACAAAATAAGTCTATAATGCAATTTTTAAATTAAAATTATGCAACTTATTAAGTCCACACACTTACATCCAGCATCAAGTCCACAGCTTCGACTTCTTTTGAATTACGAATTGCCGGTGATCTATTATTTCCGACGTTGAGTCGCTTTCGCAGGCTGTACTTTCTTCCAATGAAAAAAAGCCATTAAATTACAGCACAAAGTGGAATCACTTTAATATACTACAAAAATGAATGTGTTAAGAGACAGCACTAAATGAAAAATAAGTTTTAAAAAAAAGACGGTTCGTTTTTATTCTACGAGATTAAACTATATGCACACTCAATATTCGCCCCAGAGAGAAATTTGTCTTTCATTGGTATTACCTTTACAAGTAATATTTAACAGTTAAAATTCTATACATATATTTCCTCCAGTTATGCAAAAAACTTTTAAAATCCTCAAATAACTAACCCTAATGACGCAGAGCTTCTGTCGAAGCTTTGTGAGAGTTTTGGAATTTTCCGCATCGATCCTAAAACATAAAATATAGCAACTAAATTGGTATTTTATGAGATATTCAGCGCTTTAAAAAATGATTATCATTCCAAGATCTTTGGATGCAGCTTACCATTTAGTTCAAATGCGTCGTAACCTAGTTCATCATTTATATTATTGTCTTCTGAAATGGAAAACTATGATTTGAAATGAAGATGAAAAGAAATAAAGGACATAATTATTAGCAAGGTTCAGTATCCGCAGAGGAATAAGTGTGGAGAGGATGGAAATAAGTGACATAATAAGAGATATCAAACCTTCATTTCATATTTAGTATGTTACGATATAAAAAATATGCGTAAAAACCAATGATAAGACATTCAAGGCAGTTAATTAATATAAGACGAAACGGAATCCTCTTCTTTTAAACTTAACACTTAATCATACCGCATAAAGTTCCTTTCTTAAGTAGAGATGGAAGATACTGTTTACCTGAAAAAGTGTAGCTTAATTGTTTATACTCTTCACAATAATTCAAAACCTAACTAAATGTATAAATATTTATTGAAGTTCAAATTATGTTACAAAAAGAAGTTGATGAGAAATCTTGAAATAAACTGGAATAGCGGAATTCTACTGCATCTACACCATCTTATATATTAGACCAGTAATATTAAACATAATCATTTTATAATATTTTTACGATTCAAAAATGATGGCGCAGTATACTAAAGTATATTAAAGCCGTCAATAATGAGAGGAAATCAGCTGAATCAACATTTGGTAGCAAAAAGGTCGAATATAGAAGCAAAGTAACCTTCCTTTTCATATGCAGTCACGAAACCGCAACCATCTACAGTGATTGAAATATTTTCTTTGTATTCGATTCTGTAAATTGAAGTATTTAAAGAAATGACAGTATAGGAGAATTTCATTTCCGTTCTGATCATAATTCATCCAGAACTGAAAAAACCAAACTCGAAAATAGAAACTATTAAGAATTACCCTTCTAGCACTAAGAAAAAAATTCGGAGAAATAAATTCAAAACAATTTTTATTCGAAGCAATGCAGATGTCATATTTACATTTTCCTCATCGAGTTACAATTAACGAAAAAAAAAGTTCACGTTTTTTGCTGGCGCCTCGACAGTTTTAGGTTGAGTTGACTTGCGATGTATAACTGTTGCTCCACTGGTATCTTGGCTTCTTCGATATGATCGTACATTGCTTTACGAAAACTGCAAAAATACAAAGAAAAAAGAATCTCTAAAATAAAATAAAACAAAAATAACCTAGTCTTCTATTCCCACTTCCTCAACACAGTAAAATAAAGCAAATGCAACCAAGCATGTCATCAAAATTTTTACTGTGTAGCAAGTGATGAGGCGGTTTTGTTGGTTTTCTGAGTGGCTTCAAAAGTTTTCCATAACTTTAAACCCTTTGGTTGATAAGCAGCTTCATCTCCCTCCTGCAGCTTCCTGCAAATTTCACATGCCGAATAGATATTTCTAAGTTCATTGTGTTTAAAGACAGGAAGCAAAGAAATGCGCTGTACTGGAAGTTTCTGCTCGGCTTCTTCCTCTACGAGTAGAACAGACTGTAGTCATTTGTACTGTCAACGAATTCATAATAAAAATGAAAGTCAAGCTTACTTAAAGATGTGTTCCCACATTAATCGTTCGTCGCGTGATGTATACACATTCCGAACGGCCATAATATAATAGCTGAAAATTAAAAAGCTGTGTATAATTAAAATCTGTCAAGGTGGACACCTTTCCTTATAGTCCTGTGTTAATAAAAGAACAATGTCTATAGGCTATTAAAAAGCAAGTAATACACAATGCCCTTCGATAATTCTATTCTAATTGTCATTGCACAGGGACCATTTACCACATCCATTCAATCCAGCTTTACAAAACTGGCAGAAGTTATTGCGACTGAAACAGCTAGTGTGACATTTCTTATTATGCATATCATTAACATCCACTTCTACAACCACGTCTACCTCAACGCTACAACCACGGCTACCACTGTACTTCTACGCTTACTACGCCATCCTACTACCACCACCTAAGAACTCTAAATAGAAAATAGACGTAGAAGAACGATGGTGCAGAGTTAACGTGGAACCATGGAATTAACAGGAATTAAGAGAGATCATAGGAAGAAGGGAGAGGAAAGAAGTGAAACGGTTCTCTGAAGTGATTTGGTGGGTCAATGTGTGATGTCGGGCGGATGGTAAGAGACGCTTTGCTGACTGTGTTGTGGATTGGGACGTGGGAGAACGTCGGTAATATGTGCTGGAACACGGAACGTAAGGATGGCGTGCTGTGTAATATAGGGAATTGTATGAAAATAGGAACAGATAAAATGATCAGCGTGACTTCTAGCCGATTTATTTCATTCCCGAGAATCGTTTAAAAACTTTAACCGTAGAGTTTTCGACTAGAGCTAACATAGCACAATATAAATTTAATATTGGTTTTTTATTCTTTCACTATATCCTTAAATTCAGAATGATCCATGTAAGTATGTAGAAGGATAAAATTCGTTTCTTTGCTCTGACCTCTATATATTTATCAGAATTTGACAGCTTTCTCTTATTTTTTATAGAGATTGCTGTGCAGTATCCGCTTGTTTGTGGTATTTCAATGAATTATCGATTTCACTATTATCCCTATTACTAATGATGAATTTTATATACTCAGTGTGCTTCATTATAGCAATGCTTTTTACGCATTTCTTAGGATTTACTGCAGGTACCATTGATTCGCGGCAGCGAGATACTGGTAATATTGGTAATCATTCTCTTCAGGTAAATTTTTTATTGATAAACATTTTTGGTTGATAAAAATAACAAAGTAGAATATTGTTGGCCATGTGGTTGTCAGGATAAAGTATGTGTAAATTTTCCCTAAAAATGAGTCAGCAGAAATGTGCTAGAAGATGATGTCAGAAGTAATTCTTTGTCACAGTAAAGTCTCTCAAGTTTCAACAATTTGATTAATTCTCAAGTTCATTTAGAGAAAATCTTTTAGTCAAATTCAGCGAAGGAAATTTATCAACGGACATCTATAGTTACCAATGCAAACAAAAATCCTGCTGCAATTTTTGGCGAAAATAAGCCCAAAAAACCTATTGTAAGTTCTTTCTCTTTTATTGTTGGAATTACAATGGATATATTTCCTTCAAAAACTGATGTTTAAGATTATTTATGCAGGTAACTTTATTATTTTCTATAGGATAAAAAACTTCTGAGTAAAATGAGTAAAAGTAAATAGCTGAATAAAAATAAATTATCCTCTGGATAACTCGATGCTTGAAATTCGTGTAATTTTTTTTTTTCCTTTTTGTATGCAAAATCCATCCTGATCAGAGAAATTGCAGGATTTGACTCTCTATCATGCATTACTGGCTTCTATATCAGTCGTTGTTGTATCAGAATTGGGCGACAAGACATGGTTTATTGCTGCAATCATGGCAATGAGGCATTCTCGGTTAACTGTTTTCTGCGGAGCAATGGCAGCTTTAATTTTGATGACACTTTTATCAGGTGTCATGTTATACTTCTGTTTTTCATGCAGAAAATACATTTAAAGTGAATTTCTAGTGCATTTTAAAACTTTTCAAAGTAATTTTTAAAAAAAGTTGTTAGGTCACATGGAATAATTTTTTATGTGGTTCTATTTTTTTTTTTTTCTTTAGTAGGTCTTGTACTTTTGTTCCCCGTCCGTTTATGAGGAATTTTTTAAGCTGGACTGGGATGGTTTACTCAGGTCATGCCACGATTGTTAACTTATTCCATTTCTACTGCACTTTTCGCATTATTTGGTATGAAAATGTTGTACGATGGATATCGAATGTCTCCAGCTGATGGACAGGAGAATTATGCAGAAGCAAAAACGGAAATCCAGAAGAAAGAACTGCTTTCTGATTCTTCTAAAGCTGATATAGAAAGTGGAGGAATTACTATGCCAAACCAGAGGTAATCCAGACTCATTTTAATCTCGTGTTTCGTCCCTAATTAGATCACTCATCTTGTTTCGTCCCTAATTAGATCACTCATCTAAGTTCACGGAAATGTTTTCGAAAGTATGAAATTCTGTCCAAAAAAGAAATGCTTTACATCTAGGAAATTTTGTATGCTTGCTTTTACTTTTACAACTTTTCGTTACAGTTCAACACATGCGCTTGTATGTATGATTTCTGCACTTTTTTTGGAGACTTTTACGCTCACATTTCTGGCCGAATGGGGCGATCGCAGTCAGCTGACCACAATAATGTTGGCAGCCCGTGAAAATATCTATGGTGTAGTGATTGGTACTATAGTCGGACACGCATTCTGTACAGGAATTGCCGTTATCGGCGGTAGACTTGTTGCTACTCAAATATCAGTAAGAACAGGTAATTTCAAGCCTAGCTTTTTTATTTGTACATTTTGCACTGTTGAACTGCACAGTATTTGTTTTCTAAATTAGTTTTCCTTAAAATTACGGATCTCGAGGGAAGTAGAAAGCAATTGTTATAATTAACTACATCGAATCAACTATTGTTCTTTTATATTTGACGCCATGTTGTAATGGTCCTGTGATTTGGCGATACGTGTTTACTTGCCATAATTTAAAGCAAGTTTTAATGTTAACAGTTTTCAACTTGTACTTTTTTTAGTTACGTTAATTGGAGGCATAGTATTTATCTTGTTCGCGTTTTCTGCTTTTCTTGTCACTCCGGAATCGGAATAAACAAGGCGAAATACCTGTTGCATATTGATTTGCGGGTCATTTTTTGTATGAGCGCTTTCTGTTTATTTCAACCTAAATGGATTATTAACAGTTGCTTGGACCAAAAATATAAGGTCTATGTGCATCAATATTTGGAAAAGACAGTAATTTTTTTAAAAATTTGTTTGTGGACGGAAGTATGGCTTGCAAATTCAAATATTCATTTTGTGATTTTGTCATTAGGTGTTAAGTGTTTCGTATTTCCCATGGTTTTGTCGTAGTAAAGTTTCTTTAATTGATTATTTCCAGCTTTAGTAAAGTAAAGAATAAATGTCTATCTATTTTTCAGAAACTTCTTGGTAATATTGTGATCGTTTAACATTGTGATCGTCTTTTATTTATTTGATGACTTCCTTTTTTTCGAAATCTTATATTAATTCCAAAATAGAAAATTTAAGCAGTGTAATATTTTGCAGTACGGAGTTTTCGCATGCAATTATTTTGCGATTCTGTTGCTCATTTCTTTTTGTTTTTCGTTCTCTCTGTACTTTTCTTTTGCTGTTATTTTTTCATGTTTTCATTCTATTCAGACCTCTCAAAGTCATTGTAATTTTAATCATTTTGTTGAAATATGATAGCACATATCACTTTGTTATGAACTGGAAGTGTTTTGATTTCTTTAGTAAATATTGTAATTCATATCTGCATTATCAACATAAATGGTTTCCCTAAATTAGTTCTTTTAAATTACAGATTCCGAGGAAAAGGAAGAATGATCATAATCAATTCCTGTTTATTCCACAGATACTTCTGGTTGTAATTTTTATGAAGTGACTAGAGTTCTTTATGGAATTCCTGCGAAGCAAATTATTTTACAATTCAATTATTTTACAAATTCATAAAGTGGCGCTGACTCCTGATTTATGGAAATGTTAATTTTTTTTTTTTTTTTTTTGTTGATTTAAAAATTTTAAAAAAATCAAAAAATGTTAATTTGTGACGAAATGTTAATGGAAAGTCAGTAGTAGCGACTGTCTTGTTTCTATTCTGATTAGATAGACTCTTGAAGTTCTTGATTGTAAAGTATCATTAACTACTTTTTAATGATTAAAGATTCATTCGAATTCCTTCTTATGCGAAAAGGGTACCACATAAGCATGAACAGCTTTTTGTGGCTAATGGTACTGATTATGTACAAAAAATGTTTTTCTAAGATATCCATGTATACCGGTGCTTCACCGCTTTTGGCTGTCTGAATATCCAGTTAAATATTTAGTGCTCTTCTAAATTGCTCATTAAGTGTTACTTTCGACTTCGAGTTCTACTGATAAAGTATTTCAAAAGGCAAAACAGTTCAGAGCTCTTCTGTCTTGCTCAGATGGAAATATGGTAATCTTGCGAGAAAAATCTTGAGTTTAATTAGCTCGATGGTTTTTGATACTGTCGTTGAGTTGTCATCACTTAACTTCATTTGCCATTTTGAAGTGAAATTGTCTTCCCTGTAGTACAGTTTAAAAACCTTCGAATGTTATTACATTTTATTCCATAAATAAGGTTCAAAATTTCTTGATTTTCGCTTTTCCAGGAAATACAATAGACCTGTGGCAGTAAATCATTCAGTTGGTGCAGTTGGTGTAATATGACCATATTCTGCTATACACTGGGTTGTTGAATGTATATAAATAAAAGTTTCGTGTAACGTTGGATGTGCTTATTAATTTACATAAGATCACATAACGATGTAATCACAAAAATAAGAATAACTTAATAAAACTCTGTGTTTATCATTATTTTCATGACGGCTTAACATGTAACTTTATTTAGCTATAATAAAGTAAAGAATTTCGTTGAACGTGGATTAATGAAGGGTGATGTTGTTAATTCAAAAGTATGTTACAGTTAAGGGCTATAACATGTTTGAAATTAAATTTGGTAGATGATTTAAGTAATGGCAAGCAGTAGGAATCGAAATGTTTGCATTTGTCAAATTTTATTAGTGAATTTTGTCATTTATCAAATTTGTCAATGAAATTTTACCATTTACCAATTCTATCAATGAAATTTGTCAATGAAGAAAAACATTTATCAAATTTTATCAATGAAATTTTATCATCAAAATTTATCAGCAGCTCTAAAGCATCTCACTAACATTTGCTCCGGAAACTTCGATCAACGAAGTGCTAAAAACAAGGTAATTGGATTTAAATCATGAAATGATGTCATCAAGGATTAGTGATGGATAGGCAGGACAAAATCAATAACCAACTTACCAAGGACCGATTAGGCCAGAAACGCAGATTTTTGGTGAAATAAACAATAATGCATTGTATTTCTTATCTAAAGGAGTTATTTGGTAACAAAGCTCTAATTGCGCTTTATTGATTTCATTATGAAGCAATGATGCAGTTGGCTGGTTTCTTCATGTATCCCCGATCGATATTACTTTTTCGCCTATGCCATGTCAACTTTAGTAATCCAGCTTTATCAGACAAAATTTTCCACTAAAAATTGTTTCAAATCATTTCCATTTTCTCTTCTTCCTTTTCAGTATTCAATTAATTACACTTAGAAAACCATACTCATTACCTGCATGTTATTCGCAGTCCGATACTGGAAAATATTAGCATCCAATGATAACTTTCAATCAGAAAGTTTTCAGGGTTAATTAACTTACTGCAATCCTTTCTAATCATATTTCGTCTTTCAGGCTTCTTCTGTTGAAATGCTTGGTAGGGTAAACATTTTAGTTGCTGATAATTTTCTTGGCCTATGATCCATCGATGAGTTCGGTCATCACGGTTCATTCTTTTTCATCCTTTCTCCTTTCTTTTCTTCCTTTTCTAGAACTCCTTTCATCACATTTTAAATATCTTTAATGAAAATTATATTTTCTAGTGCTATTTCTTACAATATCCAAGCAGTAATCTCATTTTATCTTTCTTAAATTTTCTTTAAAGTTTTGGAAAACGAAGCTATTTCTATAAGACATTTCAAAGATACACAACGAACATTATTTCAGCTTACTGATTTCTCTTTTAGATAAGTACTGATGCAGAATGATGCAAATACCTCAGTATCTTAAAAGAATTTGGTCACTTACTGAAGTTCTTGATGGGAATTCCGTGTTGTGAAACACTCTTTCGTTGTCATCGTGTCCTGAAAGGTCAAATTAAATGACACCTGCATTAGAAACTGTGAATAAAGAAAAAAATAAAGGTTATCGTTTGTTGATCAGAAAGAACTTTATTCAGAAACATTCTCATTTTATTGCATTGATATTAAAATAATGATATCGATCGCTCATCCAGATATGGCGAATGTAGACTTCTGTGTCTTCTGCATTCCACGTAAAAAAAAAAAAAAAAAAAATGTTGAAAAGTGAGGGAAAAGCTTTTAATTTAATCGATTTTATTCACAAAAAGATATCTTACTTTTATCGTCTATAAACGCTTTGTTAAAGAAATAACTTCGGCGGTATGGTATTTAATTTTCTATATTTTAAAATTTGATACAAATACTCTTAGATCATTTATCTAAGAATACTTTTAATCACTTGTTCAAGCCTCGATTAGATCATTTATCTGAAAATATTTGCGATCCCTAATTGCGTTTAAGTGATTCCAAATAAACAAAACAGTTCAGGAAATTGCATAAAGAGGGAGAGAGAGACTGCTTAATTTCCACGAGATTTTTCGTCCCTTACCTCCATCTCTTCCCAGCTCTTTTACTACAGATCTTTTTTTTAATCTGTTAAGGGAAATCACCTAAAGTTTTTCTTTAGTTTATAACAGTAGCCCTAGATAGAAGAATTATTCTTGTCCCTTTTACTTTATGCTATTTTATTAATATATATAAAATTAACTGCTTCATTTGATTCAGTCCTGAACACTAAATGAATATCTCTTTGTGAGGTCAATTTATTCCTGTCAATTTATAATATCCTTATGAATAATTTCACTTTCATATCGGTAAGTGTGCAAGACCGTTTTTGTCCAGTTTTCTTGCACTTTCTCCTGTTTACATTTCTCTCAAAACTTCAAATCTTTTTATTTTGCATTGAAAACTACCACTGATCGAATTGTTAATATGAAATTGTTTTATTCATCGGTATTTCGTTCTTTCCCGGTTAGTAAATTTACTCATGTTGGATTGATTTCATCATACCTGAAAATTAGAATTTTCGCTCCAAACGACCTGAAGAAAAGGGGAGAGTAGAGGAAAGGATGCTTGCCTTGATACATTCGCGAGTCTCTTCAACATATAATTTTCGCGCAGTAATTATTGTTCTTGTAAAATGAGTGCGACAAATCTCGAAATTTTAATGAAAAAGGAATCGTTTTTTATACCTGTCCAAAACTGCTTTCTTCTATTGTACCACTGATTGTTTTACTTTCGCAATTTTTTTAGCATTTTAGTAAACGATGCATAATTACAGTGATAGTTGTTCATATCATTGATTAATTAATTAATGAGTTCGTGTACAGCTGATGAGGTTTAGCGAATCTTTAATTTTAGCGATATTCTGCGTGACTTCAGGTAACCTGTTTTGACTCACTCACAAATTTTGCTTGATCTTGGGAAAGTTTGCAGTTCCGGTAACCTTAAACAGTTTGTACACAGTTGACAACAGCATCCCTATATATTTTACCAATAAACAAAATTGCTTAATTATTTCTATTCACATCATTAACCTATATTTATAGGAGTGAGAAAAAGGCTGTTTAGTCGATTTCTAAGTAAGCTAAACTTAATATCGCTACAAACGAGGGCCCAACATTTGTACGATCGAATTAATGAAAGCATTACTTCACTTGCATATATTCGATATTCTGAAACGAGACGACGCTATAATTCAAGTGAAAAAGCGATCGATACAACTGTGACAATCTTTTGCAATCAGGAAATTCAAACGAGGTTTCATTATTACATTTCTTCGAGTAACTTTTTTCATTGAAAAAAGCATGGAACACATAACAAAGCACTACGATGGAAATTTATTAACTGAAACGCATATTTAAAGTTTAGGGATTCAAAAATTACATATTTTAAAATAATCGGAATTATAGAAAAGTTGGTCATGGCTCACTCAGGGAAAGTGTTTGGCCAGTGCCATTGCTGGAAGCAATTTTTCTACCGGAATTCCCGAATAATTCACATATCACAGAAAAAGATTTCTTGGTGAGCTACTGTTAATTTCGATGATTATGTTGAACTGAAAATAGGTAATTTAATTTTCCAATTCCTATGGCAATTTTATAGATGCGATACTTGTGAAGCACATCACGAATCATTTATATTTAACATTTCGTGTTGTATGCGTGTTCTAATCTGTGTCCCATGAAGTGCCACTAGATTATTTAATGCGCTTGTATCGCAAGCTTGCACTTAGCTGAAAAAGAATATATTGAAAAAAATAATATTTACAATAATTACTTTTTGCACTTATAATCGGATTGTTTTAAAATATTTGCAGATCCTGAATTGCATTGGAAACGGCACATTCAGTAAAGTATATAGGGTATGCTTGAAACTTGATCACAACTTTTTATTTGCCATAAAAAAGCAGTCGAAAAGCGAAGTTTTAATGAGGAACGTCATTCAACAAGTTAAAGATGAAGCTTCAATACATGTAAATTGCTAAAAATATTCTCAATACTAAAAATGTTCATTCAATGCGTTCTTCTCTGTATTTTTAGCAGACGTCAATTTTTACTCAATCGGATGACGGACATAATTCGAAATCTCCAGCTCTTTGGAAAAGACTTATAATACATTTGACATATAAGTATTTACTTTCAGTATTTATAATTAAACCTTTTAAAAATAGTTAAGCACATTTAGGGAAAAAAATTTTGGACTTGGATATTTATACATCTCCTCGTACTTACAATAATTATTGAAAGAACTTGACATTTTGCTAAAGTCAACATAGCTCGATCTGTCAGGTGATCAGGAAAAAATTTTGATGTTACTAAAATTGTTCTTTATCTTTCTCTCAGTGCCTAAATTTTAAATGAATAAATTTAATTTCTATGACAGCAATAACTTAATAGTAGAAAAGCTAGTGGATGATTAGTTCGTGTAATAAGGGGGGAAAACAGTTCAGATTGAAATCGCAGCCTACTTTTTCTTTTCTACGGAATACTCTAAAACTTTCTATTCGAACTTGATAACGTCCTTGTGATCTCTGATATTTCATTTCTTAAAAAGAAGCAAACAACTATGTGATTATAAATACGAGTCATGACAGTCGGAGGTAGAATAAATGTAAATTAAGTAAGTTTCTTCTAATTCCTAATGTTGAATGGAAAGGATTGATATTTAAATATTACTAATTTTGTGTAGAGAGCTCTCTCGGATAACGTTTTCATCACGAAATGTTATGCTAGCTGGCAGTCGAGGACACATCTCTTCACACTACTTCAATATGCAATGGGTTACGGGGATTTGTTCACGCTATGGCGTGATTATGGACCCTTCATGGAAGATACATTAAGAATATATGGTGCCGAAATCGCTTTTACTTTAGGTTATTTTATCATAACAAATCTTAGATTTATCACAGTAATACTGAGCTAACTTGCAGTAGGAATCATTAATTATATTTATATCTCTATTTATCTACCTATTATATATGATTCTATTTGACTTAGAAAAACTGGAAAAAATTCAGATCAAAATGAAATGAATTCCTTGTCAAAGTAATTTCATGAAATAGTAAGTCATATTCCGGTATCTATCTTTAGAATCATTTCTGCTTAATTATTTCACTCTTCCACATATGTACTCATCTTTTTATTCACATAATTTCATATCTGTTTGTTTGCACTTCAGTATATCTTGGAACAGATTGAAATGACAATTTTTTCCAACATCATTACCATTTTAGATTATATTCACAGAAACAACGTAGTTTACCGAGATTTAAAAATGGAAAATATTGTGCTTGATCTTGATGGCCATATTCAGATTGTTGATTTCGGTTTCTCCAAAAAACTTTCCAATGGAGAGCGAACACGAACGGTGTGCGGAACACTTCAAGTTGGATTATTTTTATGTTATGGTGTAAATCAACTCGTTTTTGGCATTTTGCTCAATTTTCACTTTTTTTTGGGATTGAATAACTCTCATTTCTTTGTGAACTATTTCGATTCAAATGAATTGGATCGAAATAGTTTGCAATTCTGAATTGCAGTACATGGCTCCCGAAATAGCTAAGGAGAAATTTTATGGCAAAGAAGTGGATTGGTGGTCTTATGGAGTATTACTTCATATCATGAATACAAATAGTTATCCATTTCCAAATTGTGATGTCAGTTCGCATACTGAACTTAGGTAATTATTTTATAGAAAACCGTAAAGCTTATTGTTCTGTCTTTTTAAAATAAATTTCATTCAGTTCACAAGTGCCCTTTAATTTAATTGGTTCCTTTAATTGGTTCAAATCATTCTATGCTCAAATTCATCGATCATTACAGATATGACAGTTATAGTACTCCCTGTTGTGATCCAATGCTAGGCGACCTTTTCAATAAGGTAACATTTAGTGTATTTCATAATATATTTAATATTGCAGAATATTAGTATACACTTAGGTACACTTTACAGTTATTGAGTGTAGACGGAGAACGAAGAATGAATACATTTGCGCAAGTGAAATCTCATCCTTTTTTTGAAAGCATTAATTGGGATGATGTTGCACTGAAAAAGGTATTTTTGTTTAATTTGAGTTTAAAGTTTATCTTACAAAGTTGTATTCTAATGTATTTGAGTGAATGTTTAAATTGTAGCAGACATTTAATAAAGCAAATAAGCTTTTTATCTATTATTCTATATTATTTTTCCGCTTATGAGATCAACTACTAACGTTTCTGGCGGAAATATATCTCACAGGAAGTGAAAAGGAAATAAAATTAGATTGGTATTAGACGACTAAAGTACGGATTTCCAGTAACTGTTTTAAATTGAATTGCACAAGCTATTTCCATTTTTATAACAGATGAAATGTTAACCTCCAGTTTGCAGCATATATACTTTATTACGGACTGGTTTTATGCATCAGTTTGTTAATTATTCATACATATTATATATATATATATATATATAGATATAATCAATCACATGAATAATTCCATCTTTCCAAATTTAAATCTCTTTCGACATAAAAGTCCAACTTCATTTTTTATTGCGTTAAATTAAGTTGAGTCTAAGTGAAAGTTTTTATAAGATTATCATTTTCAGTTAGTACCATTTGCCCATACAGAGAAATTGCAACGTTGTCCAAGCTACAATTTTTTGTATGACAAGAGCACATCTGATTTCAGTGACACAGAGGTAGAGGAGAACTGGGTTGCTTTTGAGGAACAATATGAGGTATTTCCTGCAACTTCTTAATTAGAATCTTATAATTCAAACCATTCTACTTTCATGTACAATCAATAATATGAATTTTGATTACCTTTTTCGTAGTAACCTTACATATTATTCGTTTAAGTGTCTATTTATTTCAGTTCAACACTGGCGATTACTTTCATGATCAAATGTGATGAAAGAAGCACTGATGGCTGTGATAAGTTTGTTATTGCAAAAGGATATGTATCTATTGGATGCAGCGACAATAAAATACTTCAGTTTGCTATTTTAAAATTGAAATGAGTTATGAATCATTCGGACTTGCTTAGTGAACTAACACATTTCCGTCCCATGCATTCGGAAATAAGTCAGTGTAAATGTCAAACTGAAAAATCCTTAAGTTATGAATGGTAGTGCCATAGGGCCAAATCCATTTAAAATATTTCCTTGCGTAACTCTATCTCATGCCTTATTATTAATATATGCAAACGTGAATAAAAGGATGAAAAGTCAAGAACTGGCAGAATGGCTCATTTAGCAATTTAGTACTATCAGTAAGTGGTGTTTTTGGTCCTTCGTGGATGTCCGATCATTTATTACCTTATGGAAAGTGATAAAGGCAGTGACGGTGAATCTGTAAATACTGCTTACGTATGTGTCGTTTTAATTATTGAAAGCGCAGCTGAAAACACTAAATTTCCAATAAAATCATTTTCATGCGGTGGAAGTTGAATATCTCCGTTTTACGTTCTTCACAAATTTCACCATTCACTTGTTTTCCTTGAAGCATTCCTCAAGCATTCTTTCCAAATGCCTAAGCTACTCTAATGTTTTGCTTTTTTTTTCACTTGTTTCCCTTGTTTTTCTTTGTTTTCCCTGAAAGCATTCGGATGCATGGATTCCAATGACTTGGATCAAATGTCTTTCAGGAAAACAAACTGCCAAAAGCGGATGGGAAAACGAAGTCACGATTATCACATATTCATGACATAAGCATTCGCCTGCTAAATGCTGGATTACGGAAGGGGACGCACCTGAGAAGAATAGTTAGTTTCAATTTATCTGATTATTATAAAATACAGCTATTACCATTGAGGATTAAATCACTCAATGATAAGGTTATTGATGATTCGCACCTATTAGATTTAAAATTTTTTATCAATTCTTGCCTTAAACTTCTGAGAATATCTTTACTCCTTCCACTAACGACCAGCCATTATTATTTGCTCGTTATGCACAGGTAGAATTTCATAAGAAAAATTTTCAGTAAAGAGTAGTGAAAAGACATCCAGTGTCCACTCATTTCTTTTTCTTTGTACTCTTCCGATTCTTCCCATATCTCAATGCATAAAATAATGATTGAAGTCAAAAATTAGTTTTTTATTATCACTTATTGCTTTTGTAGGTAAAGGAAGAGGAATTAATAGGATTACTTCAAGAAACAAAAGCTGTGCTACAAAGTCAAAATACATTTACTGAAATTAATACACCAGTGGTCGTTTGTGGTGATATACATGGACAGGTTTCTTTTTCCTTTTTTGTAAAATTTAACTGAACATTTCATCCTGTTAAAGATTATGTCCAAGTTACATAAAGACACATACATAAACATAAAGATTATGTTCATAAAAATGCCATAAATACGAATGAGTATTTTGAAATCTTACTTCTTGGTTAGATGGAAGAAATGATAGCAGTCCCAGCCTGCCAGTGATCAGTTGTAAAGCGAACCCGATATAATATTTGAATGTTAATACTTTCATTTTGTTATAAGCGAACCATTCGAAATTATCACCTCGAATTAACAGCTAATTGAAAGTTATTATGACCATTATTAACCATTAGTTCTGTTTACGCAAGCACTGAACATTTAACAAGTAAATAGATCAGAACTATACTACCTAAGTTTATTTATTATAAATGGATTATTTGTATAATTAAAACACAACAGTCGCATTATCATTGTTAAAATATGGAAATGATTAAATAAAAGTGAACTATATATTTCATTATTCATCAAAGCTGTACAATTCAAGAACAATTATTCTTCACAGCAAAAAAAAAAAAAAAAATCCAAAAACATACGAAAAAAATTGCTCAGAATGCCAAATGTTACCTTAAAGAAACTAGGTTATGTATGATGAATGTAACTAATCGAGATTTAATTAGCAAGATGCGTTAGTACAACTGTTAACAGTAAATTATCAGATTAATGATTCGTTATATTTCATAGCAAAAATATTAGCTACTGCAACTTTATAGTACAACGATATGCTTCGGATTTTTGACAAATGCGGTTTTCCACCGGAATCGAACTATTTATTCCTTGGTGATTATGTAGATCGTGGCAAGCAGTCAATTGAAACCGTGTGCCTCCTTTTCTGTTTCAAAATTAAGTATCCTGAAAATTTCTTTTTATTAAGAGGTGCTTATTAGCTTGATTCCTATACTAGTTATGATTTGAATTGTCAGTTTTTTTCGCCTGTATAATGCACAGCGAGAAATTTGTTGCCAGTTTTTTAAAACAGTTTAATAAATAAAAATTTTGTAAATTCCTAGGTGGTTCGAAATTTCAAATATTCATTTTATGTCATTTTATTTGTAAGATAATACGATTATTTATAGGAAATCATGAATGTGCTGGAATTAATCGAGTGTATGGATTCTATGAAGAGGTCAACCGACGTTATCGTTCTGTTCGTCTTTGGGAGGTCTTTCAAGTACTAAAATTCAATATTTCTGTAACTTAGTTGTCAGAGAAAAGTGAACGATAAAAGTCAAACTGACTTTTTGAAAATATTAAATTCGTCATTTTTCGAAGTAAATTCGAAACATTTAAAATTGCTAAATTTTAACCTTTAAATTATATAAATAGATCTTCACATGGATCAACAATGCTGAAAGTAGGAGATCATTCAGTCAATATAAATAAATGTTTTTACAGGATACATTCAATTACCTACCATATGCTGCTTGCATAGCTGGGAAAATTTTGTGTATGCACGGCGGTCTGTCACCAAAATTAAATGATTTCGATTCGTTGCGTAACATAAAACGTCCATCAGATCCACAACCGACCTCCATGGAACTTGACATTCTTTGGTATCTTACACCTCATTTTCTTATTAAGCGCAAAGTTCTTGCAGAATTATGTGTTATCGACATAGCAGGATTAAAACTTGTTTCTGACTCACTTGATTTAATTCACACTCTTGGCTTTGTCCGGAGATCCTGTAATTCGTAACGTGAAAATAAAACTGAGAACTTTTCATTTCATAGCAATCATTTCAGATATTTTAAAAACAGATTGTTTTAAAAATTGCTGACGATTTCAGCAAAGTTACAGGTCAGATCCAGACGAAAGAGTACAAGGTTGGCAACCAAATAGCCGAGGTATCTCGTTTGTTTTCGGTGTTGATGTTTTGACAGACGTATGCGAGAAGCTAAACATCGATCTAGTCGCTCGTGCACATCAGGTTGCTCTAATTCAATTAGATTACAAGAATTCTTCCAAAAGAAAGAAGTGAACGTGAATTCTTATTCAGGTGGTACAAGATGGATACGAGTTTTTTGGCAATCGTCGTTTAGTGACCATATTTTCGGCACCACATTACTGTGGAGAGTTTGATAATGCAGCTGCAGCGATGAATGTAGCAGAAGATCTCAGTTGCTCGTTTCACGTATGTTTGTCAACTATTTTTTGGTAGTAAATTAGACAATCAGCTGATAAAAGTATCTTACATACAAAAATATATATAGGACCGTTGGATAATCAACAATTTTCTCTGTATTATTGATAATTCAGTACTCTTAGCTGATATTGCAATATCAGTCCTCAGGTATAAAATTTCCAAACTTCAACTACTGGATCCCGAAACGAGCTCTTCATCCTAAACTCTACTATTCCTCTTCGTTCTAATGATCATAATGTTTCCAGGTGTTTAAGCCAACAGCAAAAGCAGTTCGCATGGCAATGAAACAAAAAGAAAAAGCTGAATAATTGGAAGCAAAACTTTATGAAATTGCTACTCACTACTGCATTTTAAATGAAATAAGGAACACATTATTCCGTAAATTTTTAAGATACCAGTCGAGTCTGAAAGCAGCTTTCTGAAGATCGGCATGTATTCCATCCACTACGTCTTTGTTGCAATGAGAAATTCGCTAAAATTTAAAGAGCATTTTTTTCAAAAATGAACGTTTTTTAAGTATTTTGACTTATTTGTTTCCGTTCCAAAATGCTGAATTAGCTAACGACGTTGTGCTAACTCAAAAGTAAGTAATTTAAATAAATTTATTACAATTTTCAACTGATAAACTTACATCCTTCACACTCGCACTGAGCCGTATAATTCAAACAAATTCTTAATTTCTCATAGGGCATTGCGTGATTAAACACGGATATCGGTTGAGTTTTCCAGTGAAAAACTGGTGCCAAATAGATAAATAAGCGGTCTTTTCGAGGCCTATAATAAATCAATAGAACAGAAGCTATGACTTTTTTGTATGCGAGCAAATGTAGGGCGAAAAGTAGAAATAAATGGAAGAACAGACAGTTCAGTTCTTTTGATGTACGGATAATCCTCATCCATTTTGAAGGCATTCGTAGGTCTCCGGTAGACTGTTATCGTTGTTGAATTAGTAGTTCGCACAAATGGTAGAGCATGCAGCTGACGACCAAACACTATCCCTTGTACCTGAAAAAATGATACCTGGGAATGATAAAAACATGATAATAGAATAAAAGATGTTGAGAGGAAGTAATTAATTGGATATTAATGACTGCATCCTTTTGTAAAAGATTTGCAGAAGTTACTGGGATGTTACAAACATCGGATGAAACCAATTAATTTGTTGAAAATTTCTTGAAATCATTGATATCGAAGTTCATAGTAAAAAAGAGACCTGTGATACAAAATAAGCATAATTGTCGCTTGTCGAAATACTGAACGCAAAAGCGTGATCACCGTGGTTGTACAACGTAAAGCTATGAGATTGAGGTGGACAATCTTTCTGAACTTTTCTCTATTCTGTGAGTTTTTAGTGTGACTTTTAAAAATAAAAGAAATTTCGAAACAGTATGGAACGAGAAGGTATAAATGAACAGTATTATAATTTGGAAAAGGCTTATTCAAGAGTTTCTCAGAGTGAATTTTGTATCTCCCATGAAGCTTACATTTCTTGTAAGCAAATATTATTATCTAAATGAGAGACCTTGAGGCTATCACAGAGGTTTAAGGTTGTCAAGAATCGTTCAGAGTGAGGAGTGAAAAGACCTGCAAATTGAAAGTGAGCCAGTTCTTATCAACTGATGCTAAAATTTCAGGTTCAATGAGTTCCGCATCCGGTTCTTCATTAGTCCAGATAAAGCGATCGTTGCTCATGTATGGCGGCATAGTCATCTTTAGACAAAACTATCACTACCTAAATCCTCAGTAGTATGCAACATTACCAGTAATTAATCGCACAACAGTGCCATCTAAGTGGCTACCGTAGCAATTGTCACTGTGGAAACTTCTTTATTCGAAAACATTATTCCTTAGCGGTTTACATTTTAATAAAATTTTAAGTTTTTGTATACGATTTAACATATTATTCACTTGAAGAACGTAGCCACTGAGGAAAAATCCTTCTTACCTTTTCCAAGAATGAAGGGAGAGATGAAAGATAGCAACCGATCACAAAATAATCCTGTTGAAAGAGTAGGATTTAAGCCAATTAAGAAAGTAAAAATTCAAAAAAAACTGGACCGGAAATAACTCAAATTTGAATTAAAAAGACTGCTTATTCGGTATGTTCTAATTTGAATAAATATTCACGTCAAGGAAGTGCTTCGAATTAAAATTAATTAAGTGGCTCTCAAAGGTTCTCTAACTGTCCTTTCTCTGTTTGAGTGAAATTGTCCCAATGTTTCAAAGTTGACAGCTCCTCACAACCACATAAAGACCAACCAGCATTGTTCCTCTGAAGGACGGACGGTCCTTCGTATTTTATATTTCACGGTTTGCAGGTATCATTGCTAACGTGTTTCTTACTGTTGGTCTTGTGGGGATGCTGATGGGCTTAGGCACAGGAGGGAAAAGGGTGGTGTATTTGAGGGAGTGCGGATGCTGAGATTTAAATTAAGGTGGAATTTCGAAATAAAGAGAAGTTGGTTGTGTGCTTGATCACAGTTTCGATAAAATGAGAAAAGTTCACTACACTTATTGAATGATGACTGTTTGATATAGTAATCATTTCAAAGTCTAATCCCTTTCAGCGCGAATGTCGGAAGAAATAATAAACGATAATGGTAAGGAACGACTGAAGAAGCGAAATGGAAATATGTTCAAGAGAAAAAAGGAATTGTCATGGCGAAAGAGTAAGTTAGAGTTACTTTTTGAATTTTTAATGGAGGATCATAAAGTATTTAATGTGCATAGGTCATTAACAGTCACAAGCATACTGAGCTGTGGTGATGTGGAAAGGTGCATGATAAACGTGGCATTTTCATATTAATTTGACACAAGCATAAAAGGAATATTGTTGGTATGACACTCTATGCGGTTGGCTATACTGACTTACTGACTGTCAATTTTTTTTTTCTTTTTGATTATCAATATCAGAAAAAGCTGCGATGAAGCAATTTCGTGAAGATATATTGTTGGAACAATTAATTCGAAAGCCTGAAGTTAGTAATGCTTTAGTAGCGGATACGAACGATGTCGGCATGAATAAAATCAGGAATAATGGTAAGTTTAACAAGCATGGGAGTATTCCATAAGCATTTTCAATATTACTGCATTTAATTTCATTCATGCATAGGTCTGGCATTCAGTTTCATTCATCCATCAATTTTTATTCTTAATGCTTTTTATAAATGACATTTAGTTGAAAGTATGGCGAATTTTTGTATTAATAATGTAATGTCATTAAATTATTTCTTAAACTCTTAAATAACAGTTACTAAATGAACTGAATTAATAGATGTTCTGCTTCGTATTTATCACTTAAAATTATTACTATTATTCGTTTTACTTATTATGCAGCACGATGGTTTTTTACTGACTCAGTCATTTCAGGAAAATTTGTGATGTTAAGCATAGCACTTCCTGGATCAATATTGAATAATGCGCAAAGTCCAGAGCTAAGGACTTATCTTGCTGGACAGGTAAATATATTCCAGTTTTATCTATTAGTTGGTAAGTGTTATCATCTGTTACTGCTCGTATCATGTCACAGTTATTTTTATTTATTTCTAGAGAGATATCATTTTTGCTAAGTTAATTTTAAACCCATTAATATTTGCACATTTACCTCATACTGAATATATTTAGTGACATGTATTCCAGGTCTAGTGGATCTCTTAACTGAGAATCCTTATAATGTATGATATTAAAAATCCTAAATAACATTATTTTTGATTTTCAGTGGATATAAATCACATTGCTTGAAAAATATGGGGGATAATAGCGCAATCATTTGAAGCTCATTTAAGTGATGCAAATTACAGATAGCGCGTTCGGCTGCGGTATTCTGTATAGATGAGATTGTTGTTTATGATGAGACAGCTCGAATGAAATCACAGTTGGTTTATTTTCTCATCCAAGTTTGACGGTTCATAAAATCGACTCAGAGTTGTTTTGTAAAAGATTTTTACATTCAGATTTGTTATTTAGGCAGCGCGAAGATTACTGCAACGGACAATGGTATCCAGATTTGCCTGTTCATAGTGGCAATGTGGAATGTAACTTTCACCTGGCAAAAATCTTGGAATTTATGGATTGTCCACAGTACTTGCGGAAAACTTTATTTCCCCTTCAAAAAACTTTAAAATATGCTGGTAAATGCTGTTTTTAAAGCTTAAGCTCTCAAAGAAATTTTTTTTAACTGATTATCAACTAAATTTTTATCACATTCAGGTATTCTTAATCCGTTGGATTGTCCTCATCATCTGCGTGCATCAGATTTGAGTGTCCCATATAGAGAAGGTGTTGTTCTGGATAAGCCAATAAAAGCAGGTCGTGGACCTATTTGTAACGTCGGTTTGTACAAAGTTTGTTAATTTTTTGACATTAAATGAAGTGTTACTACTCTTTTCTATAGTAATGTGAGATGAACTTTTCTTTGATATTGTGATTTAAATTTGTATATTGTTTTGCCGTGAAATTATAGCAAGTTATATTTTTAATTTAGGAAGTCCAAATTAATGAGGATGTCACACTTAAAACTGGAACTCGCGTTACCGTAAAAATATTGGACATTTACTCGGGTATTCGTATTTCTTCACGTTTTATGTTATCTCCAGCCTGTTAAGGAGGCGTCATTTCAAAATAATTATGAAAGGAACCAAGGAAAGACGAAGCAATCAGCGAATTTTGCCCAGTTTTTGGTCTTGGCAGTTTCAACGTCCCATTAAAAACGGCTGGTATACGAAGTAATTTTCAGACAACTCGAAAATCATTGGAAAGCTGAAATGACATTTAGTAATAAATGAGGGAAATAAATGGGATATCAGTAGAAGAAATGTAGTAAAAATTTTTCTCCTTGCAGAAAGAAAGCGATATCATGGGTGCTTGGTGAATTCTAAACAAATAAAGCAAGAAGCTGGATTATACTGGGGCTATAAAGTACGCCTTGCACTAAGCCTTTATGATGCATTGAATGCTGAGGAATATGATGTTATCATAGGAACATCAGAACGGGGGAAACCAGTGAGCAAATTTGAAATGTCATTTTCTGGAAAAAAGTGAGTTTTTATATTCCATAATGTAATATAAACATTACAATTGTTCTAGAAGGAACTTTTTATTTCGAATACAGGTTTTCATTTTTAAATTTTGTATTGAAGAAATTGTGGCATGATCCTTGATAAGTGTTTCTTGATGTGTTATATCTAAAGGCCTTAAACATTAAGTGAGTAATAGTGCAAAAATAATTATATGGACTTTTTGTGATTTAAATATTTTTTCAGCCGAATTTTAATCGTTTTTGGTGGGCTGGAAGGGTTAGAGACAGCCGTAGAAGCTGATAAAAATATCAATTGTTCAACTCCTGAAGAACTTTTTGAACATTACCTGAACGTTGTACCTGGACAAGGAAGTCGAATCATCCGAACGGAAGAAGCAATACCAATAACCTTAGCCACACTGAGACCTATGATTTGTACTGATTTATGAATTTTTTTATTTTTGGAAGATAGTTTGAAAGTGATAATAATATTCTTGTTGTCTACTCTGGTTGTTTTGAAGAAATGGTAAAATTTAACATTATGTTGAATGTTTTTCATGAACTTGAAGAATCTCAAGTCTGTTAAAATATCTGGTGAGATTCTAATTTACTAATAACCATTTGAAATTTCCCAAAATCGGTCTTCTTAAAATCTGTAGAGTGTTTGTGTCCTGAGTTTTATATTAGGTTATTGTATGCGTATTTTCTGACAAGATTTTGTAGTTTTTCCATGTTGGCGCGACGATGTTTTATTGTCGACATTCTCAAACCTTTTCAACAGAAATGGACAAGTTTTGGGGATTATGCAGTAAGTTGATTTTTGTGAGATAAAGCTTTGTAAGGAAATTTATGCTCAGTTGGTAAGTGGAAGTACGCTATCGTTTATGTTAATATGACTTATTTTAGCATCATTGCTCCTGATAACGCTTACCCTGGGTGCATGGTAACTCATTGTACAGTATTTCAAAGGCACATTTATATGTAGAAAAGAAGCATTTATTTAATGTGGGAGGGTTTTATCGATTGGCAAATCCGTTCTAAAAGTCTGTCGTTTTATTCGTGGCCGCTTCCATATTAATCAGTTGGCGGATTTAATTGTAAGAAAACCAAACTACAATGTGATGGTGCTGGTTGTTGGGAAATACAATATTTTTGGGAATACTTTGCGCCGTGTAAGCTAACTTATTTTGCATATGCTTTTACTTGTGTATTATGACTTGGCACAAATAAAAGTTTTTTTGAATTTGATTGGACCAAAATTCATTCAGATCATTTAAATAGCCCATTCTTCTAAACATGGTACAAATGTATGGAGTACTTTTTGAGTCACTATTTTTAATATATAGCCATTTTAAACTTAAACATACAATGAATTTTCATTTGATCAAGTTATCTGAAATTGCAGTCGAAACTTTCTTTTTGACATAATCCGTTAATAACTAAAGGCTATTATTTGTTGCAGGGTTATGCTACTGCGAGTGTCAATGATACTAAACAAGGCGTGCCGAAGTTTACTCTTCGTTACTTTTATAAACTGTTCAAATGGATGACAGTGGGTTTTGTTGCTGGCAGTAGTACCATCTTTTTATATAATTTGTTTGTTCCAGATTTTCGTGAATTACAAGATGAGAAGCATTATTATTCTGATTGGAAGGTAAAGTTATTTACTTAACAGGGACTTTAATTTTCATACAGATGCGGTTCAGTGTCTCAACTTTATACGAGCTTAATTCAACTTTGTACGGTTATCGTATTTCATCATAAGTTTTAGGTGCCATACAATGTGCAATAAGCAAATTCCATTTAAAATTGACGGTGAAGATTAGAACATTGTCGTGAATTTGAATTAACTTTTTGTTCAGAAGAGTATCAGAAGAGTAGATGATTTAGGTTAGTTAAGTTTACTTGACTTACTTTAAGTTTGTAGAACTTGAACTGAACCTTTTGTTTCTTATCTGCAAGCGAGATCGACCCAGTATGATTTATTTTCTTTATAAATGTGATTCGATTCAACAAATATGTAGTCGAATAATTGAAACAGCTAAGGAATAAAATGGTAATGTTGAAGAAGAGGAAGAGAAGACGGCCCCCGATTCTTTCTTTTCTGTTGAATCATTAAAGAAGATTTTTAAGAATGTAGGAAATGGGTTGGCTTAGCAGATTAACATTTACAATGAAGACAGATGTACATTTACTACTTGAGGTTTAGATAAAGGATTCATTGTTTTAAAAGAATGGGTCATAATAAAGGAATAACAAATTGGTTTATAATAATAAATCATTAGCATTATTCTAAACACTTAATGTATAATAAAAATTTTGATGTATAATAATGTGTAATAAAAATATATAAAAACACTTAATGTATAATAAAAAAGGTTTTCCAAACATAATCTATGAATTGTTTTCAAACAACCCAACATTATTTGGATAAATTGCAATAAGTTTAGGTTATATTGCGATTCTAAAAATTTGAATCATTTTTAAAGTTTAAAGAACTCCAGTGAAAACATTTAGAGAGTTGGGAACAGAAAATAGATTAAAGAAGCGGGTTCATCAGGTTAATGTGAACTAAAATTAGACCTAGTTTTAAGATCATTTGAAAATATTGCTCATGTTTGAAATGTCGAAAGTATCATCAAGTTAATGTGTTCTTAGTTTTTTTTTTTTTTTTTTTTGTGCTATTTCTTTCATTTTGTAATAACACCAGAAAGTCAATTTAAATAAAAAAGTAGAAATCATTTCAGTTGCGTGCGTATTCTTCTCTACCGCTGAATACACTTTCACATTTTGCCGGCGGCCTAGCTAAAGTATATATTCCAGTGTGGTTACGACCCAAAATATTCAGTTAGTTAACTTTTTTCTTTATCTTGAAGTGGATTTTTTAGTTTTTTTATTTCTGGGTTGTAGAATGTAACAGTTTTCCGTGGGAGAGCAAATAATAATGTGTAATGGAGAAAAAGTTGACAGTAATGAGAAAAATACCAAAAGAGCCATTTAAAGGTAAGAAACTTTTTATTTTTAAGATATCTATGTTCGAGTATATGATTGCCGAATGGATGAAGCCGAAGTGAATGATTTATCAGCCTATCCGACGTTAGCAGCATTTTTTAATAGATCACTAAAACCTACAGTCAGGCCTATCAGTGATGCAGACTTGGTTCGTCGTTCTCGCCATATGTTATTTTCTTAACAAAAAAAAAAGCATTAATATCGGAAAATAATGCAAGAAGGTTTTTTCATAATTTATCAAAATTTATAGTATTATTAGAACTTTTTTTAGCAATCTGATTTATTTTCTTTGCAGGTATCTCCAGCTGACGGAGTTGTGATTCATTACGGAAAAGTGAAGGAGGGACGTGTTGAGTTTGTAAAAGGCCATGATTATGATATCACCGAATTTTTAGGACCATTGAATATTAAAAATAAAAAAGTGAATTTTATGTTAATCAGTTTTTTTTTTTTTCTTTAGTAAAATGGCGATATTGTTCTAGTAGAAGATTTTTGCACTGATTTGAGGTATTCTAATGATTCATAACTGTAAAATAATGTAGGAAGGACACGAGCTTTATCAAGTGGTTCTTTACCTCGCTCCTGGCAATTATCACGGATTTCATGCTCCTGCAAAGTGGGTGGCAAATGAGGAAATACATTTTCCCGGCAAGTTCACATTCCATTTCCGGAATTTACAGCTTTAAGGGAAAATCTTTATTGTCTTTTGTGTGGTTTTTTTTTCATTATTTTATAATGCACCGTTATATTTTTTTTTTTATAGGATTATTATTGTCTGTACGACCAACATTTCTATATCGCATGCCACATTTGTTTTGTATCAATGAACGAGTTGTTTTGAAAGGATCCTGGAAGCATGGCTTTTTTTCATTGTGCGCAGTCGCAGCCACAAATGTTGGAAATATTTCAATAGACGCAGTACGTCGGAATTTCAATATGAATTTCTTCATATCTCTCACTTTTTTTTTTTAATTTCATGAATTGAACTTCTTTTACTAAAATACTGGCAATTTTGGTTTTTTTTTTTTAGAGATTGGAAAAAATGGTATTCATAATCGGAGAATATACTTCCATTCCCCAGCATTTTCATTTTTATTTGTTCAGTTTAGGATCCGTTGCTTCACACAAATACCAAACGCTTACGGAAAGAGATTTCCAAAGCAGTGCCAATAATTGCAGAACTGGAACATGCATATCGGCCTGGCGATAAAGTTGGAGAGTTTCGGCTGGGATCAACGATTGTTTTGGTAAATTTTTTTTCTGTTTATTCTTTCCGGTTCGGTTGCTTAGATAAATGTTGAATTATATATTTTTCTTCCTTTTTAGTTAAGTATTCTATGAATATCCAGAAAAAAGTTTAAAAAAAACGTCATTAAGCTTTTTTTCAGCGCTTAATTACTGTGTTTTGCAGATTTTCGAAGCTCCTTCAACTGTACAGTTTGCTGTTCGCGCTGGTGATAATTTACGCTACGGCCAAAGTCTTGTTGTAAATGGTTTTTGAACTACGTTTTAATATGTTTTGATGTTTGAAATGCTTGTACCGCATCTTACAAAGCTGGTGTTTCGTGTGATCAGTATCATTTTTATAAGTACTGGTCAATTTTTTTTTTTTTTTGCAGTTTGTATCTTCTGTTATTTTGTGAATTATAAAGATGTTCTAAACGTTCATATATTTTTTTTTAAGATAGGGTTGAACTTTAATCATTTTGTTATATTTACAAATATATTCTTGCCAACACATTGCTTGTAGTGATGCTTACAATTTGTTGTATTATACAATTCTTTTTTCTTTTTGATGGCGTGGAGAGTTTTATTTCTTGTGTTTTCAAGAATTAGTTCGCTATCATTTCGTTGCCGAAAACTTATAAATTATAATGTTCATTTTATTGTTTTAGGATGGTTCTAGACATTGATTTGTTTCGAGAAGAGAAAGGCGGTGATCCGGAACTGGTACGAGATTCGCAACGAAAACGATATAAGGATGTCAAACTTGTTGACGACGTTATTGATTATGATCAACGATGGAGAAGAGGTAGGGGAGAATTTTGTACTGAATAAAATTCAAATTGCGTATACGTCATTTGCGTTTCTGAAATTTTTAGTATGCATCATCATTTTTAAAGGAGCTGTTTTTTTTTTTTTTTTTTTTTTTAGATTTATTTCAGGTTAAAAAGCTGTTTTGAAATAGAAAGGTAAAATAAAATTCTGTAACATAAAACCTATTGACTAGCTTCTAGAAGCTAAAGGACTTCTGTCTTTAGAAAATGCGATTATTTTCTTTAATATGTTTGAACATTATTTATACGTTTTTTGTTAATCGAAGTTGAAGGGATAGCACTAGTAGGAGAACAATGTTGTTATGCGTCATGCCGTATGTTTCCTTCTTATATTTAATTTTTCTTCAACTTAAACCATTGAGAACAAGTAATAGATAAACTATAGTGAAACACAACCAAAAAGTTAAAGACTGTCGAAAACCATATGTACTTAAAGTTAAAACTTTTTTAAAAAATCTGTTTTTCATGTATTTCGAAAAGTGGTTCTATATATAGTATTATCGGCGATATGAGGGGTGGGAAATATTAAATCTAGTGAAATTAGCTTTTCGAAATATAAGAAAATTTCAAGATTGTTTCTTGATAAGATCGTTGAATATTCGAAATTAGTGAATAACTCAAGGTGGCAAAAATTCCATTTTTGATGTATATATTTAATTTTCAGCGCTCTAATAGGGGATGGATTATGGACGGCAAGACTTGCTAACTGATATTTGGTCTCGTTTCATTAAGGCATTTTGTTTAAAAAATCCTTGATTTCTCAAAATGTAATTGTTTAATTACATTTTCCAGATCGTTTTTCCACAGATAATTTCAACAGGTTGATCAATTTATGCAGCAAAGTCATTGGAGAAAAAATGAAGGCACGTTGTATTATTTATTTGGTGCTCAATAGTGTTGTCGTTATCAATATGAACAGTGAAGATTTTAGAAAAAAGAATCAGTAGCTGATGATAATACCGTACCAATCGATTATATGGAACGCCTAGAAGCACTTTGTGCTGATGACATAAAGGTGGCAATCCTTTAATTTAATTTGCATTTATATTACAACAGTTGTTTCCGTTATTGCCATAATTTATATTTACTTATAGCAATATACTTATTGTGATAATTTATTCGATGGGATATGAAACAAATTTATAAATAACTCTTTAACAAGTTGCGAACTTTCTTGTTTTGTTTAAACACATTTTCATTATTTAACTTTATTTTCAGGGTTTGAAAATATCACAAATCAAAAAACTAAAGAATACAATTGATCAGAAGCTGGTGGAAAAAAGGAGAGAAATGGAGAAGCTTGAAGCAAAACGCCATCAAAGGCTTATTCAGATAGGCAACATTATACATCCCACGGTGCCGGTCAGTGATAACGAAGACAATAATAGAGTGGAGAAGACTTTTGGTGACATCAAAACTAAAAAGAAATACTCACATGTAGGTTAATTAAAATTAAACTACTTGAGAGCATTATTATTGGCGTGCGTCACATGGTCTTTTAAATGAATGCTTAGTTTGAGTTATTTCTCAAATTATAATTTACGTTTTCGTAAGAAAGACGTTTTGTAACAAGTCATATATAGATTTCTATCTCTGAGTGATATTCCTCAAAAATTGATTTCCATGCTGTTATAGTATTTCATAACCCTACTTATTTATTTTGCGTAATTACTTTATTTTTCATATTTCAGATAGATCTTTGTATGATGATTGATGGGTTTGATGGTGATCGTGGAACTTCTGTCGCTGGTGGTCGCGGTTATTTTTTGAAAGTTCGCTTATTTCATTGTTAATATTGATTCAAGTTTTTTTTTTCTTCTCTGTAGAAGGTTTTGCGACCATACTTGCTTTATTTAGGGTCCGTTAGTATTTTTGGAGCAAGCAGTTATCAATTTTGCTTTACAAATGCTACACTGTAAAGGCTTCATTGCGCTTTACACTCCATTCTTCATGCGTAAAGAAGTGATGCAAGAAGTGGCACAACTTAATCAGTTTGATCAGGAGTTATACAAGGTGTCTTTTAAAATAATAGCCATGCCGCTTTTAATTTCTAATTCTTTTGTCTTTTTCCAGTAATACATAGCACTGTAACAGGTTACTGGGAAAAGTTCTGAAGTTATCGGCGACGAAACCAATGACGAGAAATACCTCATAGCTACATCCGAGCAGCCAATTGCAGCTTATCACCGAAACGAATGGATTAGTGAAGCTGACTTGCCAATTAAATATGCCGGCATATCGTCTTGTTTCCGCCAAGAGGTAGGCACATTTTTTGACGCCATGCAAGATCCCACAGTTTTACTCGATCTAGAACTTGTAGGTTGGAAGTCATGGGCGAGATACTCGTGGTATGTTTCGAGTACATCAATTTGAAAAAGTTGAGCAATTTGTCATATGTTCTCCATATGATGATGAAAGTTGGAGAATACTTGATGAGGTAAATTTTCTTTTTTTTCGTGTTGAAATGATAGATCTACCAATTTTGAGCTACAAATATCGTTGTGTGAATACAAATAATAGCATTAGCATTTTATGGCGTTAAAAAATTCCTGCAAATGAAAGGATTTTGTGGACAGTTTGCAACTGGTTCAGCGAACATTGCAAAAATAAGTTTTGATAGTGACATAATTGAGTGGTTGTTTTTTATTTAAATTCTGAGTATGAAACCTCTTAAATTATCATACAGTAATTGTTTAAAGGAATCTTAAATTACCATACAGAATGATAAGTGAGTATTAAAAAATTTCGAATTTCGTTTCTTATATTAACAACAGAAATTTCACCCGCAGCAACAATTACTTGCATTTAAAGGAAATTATTAATGGCTTAAAAATAATAACAATAATAAAAGTAGAAGGCATCATACCACTTCATATGTAAAGTGGGGACTGAATATGACCTTAGGATTAAATAATCTTGTCGATTTTACATTATTTTCCCACAATCTGGCAATTGTATCGATTTTATAGATGGTTGAAAATGCTGAAGATTTCTGTAAAGCACTTGGTATACCATTTCGAATTGTATGCATTGTTTCGGGAGAACTAAATAATGCTGCGGCGAAAAAGCTTGATTTAGAAGCGTGGTTTCCAGGCAGTGCCGCATTCAGGTTCTTTCTATTTTATTCTCAGATTCTGTTGAAAAATTGTGTCTTACTCTATAAACTTTTTCGAATTTTCCTTTAACAGTCATTGTTCAGAGAATTGGTTTCTTGTTCGAATTGTACCGATTATCAAGCTCGACGTTTGAAAATTCGTTATGGGAAAACGAAAAAGTTGGATGGTGAAGTATGTTCTTTCTTTAATTGGTGCTATAGAAAATTCATTCCTGATGTTCAGGAGGTTCCACTAAGTTTGAAGATATTTGGTTAAATTTTTCTTTATCTATAATACTCATTGTTTCGAATCTTCTTTGATTTTGATAGAAATTCTTCTTGATTTACTTGGTGTAAACATATTAATTTATCGTATGTAGGTATCTTACGTACATATGTTGAATGGTACAATGTGTGCAACTACACGTGTATTATGTGCGTTATTGGAAAATTATCAAGAAGAAAATGGTATACGTGTTCCGGAAATTCTAAGACAATTTATGCCACATCCCTACAAGGAATTAATACCATTCATTAAGGAAGCACCGATTGAAAATGATTTAAAGAAAATAAATTAATGCTACTGTTTATTTTATGTATTGCTATTGCTTAATTATGAAAAGATTTTTTTTTTTGATGTCTTCATTTATTGCGTTCTGTTTCTTAAATGATGTAATTTTTTCTTCTGCATATATTTTTTATTTATTTATTTTTTTTTTTTTTGTGAAATGATGACTTATGTTGTTTTTGGTTATAAAGGCAGCTTTTTCCTGACATATCTTTTCTGACTTCACCAAATCTAAACTGCTATACATTGATGCCTGTAAAAATAATAAGCTATATAAGGGATTTCAACACAATCTCAATACTTACTGATATGAAATGTCGCTGAACGTTTGTTATTCAGCTGAAGTTCACTGTAAAATTATCACCGGTGCAAAAATTAATGGTGTATTACTTTCATACTTTGCTTTCGTCTCTTGGTATTTTATCACGATAGGAAGAAGGCAAAGCAGTAGGAGCAAAGGGCGAGACGGCGTGTTAGACAGCAGGACGATTTTTTAATGTATTTTTTTCTTGGTTGAAGAAATAAGATTTTTTTGGTAAATTGGTTAATAATTTTATTCTGTAAAACTGAATGTGACGATATGGGATGGATCAGGTGTAATGACTTATCATTTTGATGTATAGTAGTTTCTGCTTCCTGTACTACTTTATTTATAGTTATAAAGACAAATTGGTTATGTTAATACGTCTGCAACATGCACTACTTCGTCACCATAGGTATGTTATTTTTTATGATAATTTATGCTTCAAGATGATGTTTTACTCATTTGATGAAGAATGGATAAATTTTAGGTATTATTATTACAAAAAGTAGTCTCTATAATCATTGTCACAAAATTTATTTTATGAAGAATGATATTACATAGAATCGTAGTAATTGTGATAACGAGTGTTATGAATATTTCTTGAATGTATATTATTTATAGTATTCAGTAAGTACAGAATAAAGATTTTCCTACAACATTTAATTGGAAATTATTTATAATTTGAAAATTATATTTTGAAATCATAGAGTTAATCACATATTAAATAATAATATTCTTCTAGTACAACAAAACAATGTAAAAAAAATTACAGTTGAAAAGATTCATGGATATGATTCTGAATGCAGAAATGTCTGAACTATATCTGAAAGTTTATAAATATTCATTAATAGTTTCGCTAAATAAGTGGTTAATTGTTCTTCAGGGTTTTTTTTCAAAATGTAATTCACAAAATCAGATCAGCAGAATCGTTGAAAATTTTTTCTTTTCAATTCAATTTCAAAACCAAATTCACTTAATATTGTGTGCTTCATTGAATTTGATCGAATTCCAAAATAAATTGTTCGCATCAGTTCACTGCATGTTCAACTCTCCTCTTACCTCTTATCAAGTCTTTCCTAAGTACAATTTCAATCCTGTTTACTGTCTGACCAAAGAAAATTAACTAACCAAAAATGACCATCATCTATCTCCTAAGTAAGTTACTTTTGAAAATTCATCAAATAAAATTAGCTCAGTGTACTTCTAGCAATTGGTCAGTAGAAAGTTGTGGAAATGGATTACAAAATCTGCAGAGGAATTCCATTAATTTATTCTAAACAGGTAGGTATGCGACATAAGCATTCTTACTTTCATATTGCACCAGGTAATTAATTTGACAAGACGGTTTAACTTGCGCTTCGTTCCATTTATTTATCATCTTCTATTCATTGCGGTATGTTCCGTTTCGCTGAAGGACACTGTGACTGCATCATTTTTTCTTCATATTTTTTGGGTCTTTCTTGAGATTTGGTGATATTATTGAGATGACTGCAAACTTAATTAGCATTGTTTTATTATTTGTTTATATTTCCTCTCTTACTAGACCTATTTAATTACCAGGTGTATGCATTTCAATGATATTAACGATAGCATGGAAGAAAGCAAAGACCTCATCCTGTACAATTCACAGGCTCTTTCTTTCCCCGCAATCCCACAATTATGGCATGCTTCCCAACAACCGTTCATGCCATATTATTTCACTTCATCACCACCGCGATATTATCCATCCTTACCATATCTGTCTCAATACTCGAATGCAACGGTAAGTTAAAATATAATTTATATGACTTCACACACTCAGGTATAAATCATATTCCGTTAAATATAATCGAATTCCCTGAGGAACAATCGTCCCCATCTTAGGTGTGTATAGCGCCACGAAGAACAATTACCGAGATGGATCATGATGGAAGATCACTGTTTTGCTAATGCTGCGTAATGAGCACCAAATATTTGACTGCATTAAAATAATTAGCAGGTAGCTTTAACAGAATGAGTAATAAAATAATCTGGCATTCCGGCAAACGGTTGATTAATCACTTCGATCCTGCTGTTGGATCATACTAAAATAAGCTGATAGTATCGGTAGTAATTCATGCAGATAAAAACGACTGTCATTTCAGGCAATGATCCGACAACAAAAATACCGAAGTAAGGAAATGCGAAAGTCAAGTAAAACAAATTTCTGGTGTGCCGGCATAGCTCAACTGCTGTGGACAATAGTCGTGATAATTGCATCAGGTCTGCTCGCCATTTTAATACTTGCACTTGTTGTTGTTTAACAACATTGTTGGTAAAATGTATGAGTTCAAATTTCTCGGAAAGAAACGCAATTATAAATCAAAAGAAGTCACTGAATAAAAAAGCTGTGGTCAAGTGACCAAAAAACAGATAGTTTTGTAGACTTTGCTTTTATACACCACTGTTTTTAAATGTAACAAGTCAATAACGGTTCAAGAAAATTGTATAAATGCCTGGTTTCTTGTAATAATCACACTGCAAATACCATTTATATATGATGCATTGATGCATAAAATTGTTCATGATCCTAACATGAAATGAGCATAATTATAAATACTATGTTGTTAAGGGGTTACGCTAAAATGTTTATTTTTCGCAGAAAGCTTCATACAATTAAACATGAATAGCACTTCTTTATCTGTTGCAAAAAATTTGAAATGGAAGGTTTCTGCAATTCACACACATAGTGGAGGATAGGATCTCACAAAAAACTGTACACTTTTTTTTTCTTTTGAATTAAACATACTTATTCAACACTTGTTTTCAAGCCTGAAGTAGATAAGAGATGTGAATCAACGAAATGTCAAATGAAAAAAACCACATATGTGCTAGAACTAAAACTGTGATACGTTGGAAAAAAGATTACATATAGGTCATTGTACAGTTGCAATTTATTTGAATTATCACAAAAGAAAAACGGAAGGATTGATTTAAAGATGAGAACACCACAAAGAATGCGCAGTCAAATTTACTTCAACTACTCTTTAAATATTTGACATGCTACAGCGATAAATCTAAATAAACTACATATGTATCTTTTTGCAAAAGCATATTTTTATACAAATCATTATAACAAAATAAACTACAATTGAGCTGCTCATAGAACGAAAATTAACGATGATCATCTATCTTTTGATTTCTTTCTGTTAGCTCTCCCACGGGTCCTGTCAGCAGTACAGTGCTTGATGAATGCTTCCTTTAAAAAAATATGTCAATTTCCAGGATTTCGGGAGAATTGTCAAATTATTTTCATCAGTGGAATCACTGTTTTTAAAACTTGTAAATTTCAACTACGCAGAGTGCTATCAGAGATAAGAAACGATAGTTGTAAATGAGTAGATTTACAGCACTAAAGTCAATCATAATTTTTATGTCTTTTGGCTGCTTCCTCTTATTTGGATCTATCCAATTATAAAAGATAAATCATTGTTATTTGAAAAAGTTATTGTTCATAGTCAGAAAGAATTAGCATACAATTACTTATTCATCAATTTGTTCAACGCTCCAAAACACTTGAACACATTTAAGCTTCGATTGCCAAATCAAAAACTGAATGATTTAAAAAAGAAAGGGAAAACCTAACGAGAGAAAAGCAAATAAACTTTCATAGTTTCACATAAAGAAATGATTTTTGCAATGTATGACTAAATTTCAGTATTCAGAAAAGTTCGAATTTCTATTAATTTTAAGAAAAAGAATCCGCATGACGACGATCTCTTATAGTACTTCACTGAAAAGCTATCAGTGGTCCAGAATTCGAAGATTCCCAGAAACAATCTTGTTTTCAAGAATGGTTCCTGGTGGAATATCTATACGATCACCATGGTTCGCTATTATTATCACTGTACCCTAAAACTCAAGCATACTTTTGGGATAATATTCAGTGAAAATGAAACACTAGAAATTTTCATAGTAAATAATTTAGGATTGGAAAAAATGTATGAAGTGATTAACAGTTTTTGAAAACATATACTTAGTAATTGATGACTCAAAATTTTGAACAAAATGAGGAATAAAATCTTCTCTACAATTAGGAACTCCCAACAGATGAACATGACAAAAAAATACCTTTAATACAACATCCCTGCCAAACCATACATCACCAGATACTGTTAAATGATCCAATTCCAGCAGATCTGGGATACCCTGGAAACGTCTCAAATATTCCTGTACCTAAAATGAACAATAAAATTAGTCTGTTCGATCTGGTTAAGAAAAGCCTTTTTGATGTAACAAATAATCAACATTAAAAAAAAATAACACCAAATAAAATTGATCTTAGAATGAACCCATATACAAAATATAACCATATGTTTTGAAAACAGAACTGAACAGCATCAAAAAAATGATTTACTTTGTCGAAAAAACTGCCCAATTTGACGAGTGGAGTTGTTGGAAAGGAACGAAGATGACTTAATGTTAGGTTACCATTTTCTATTTCATATAAATTTGACATAAGCAACAAGAGATCGGAGGTAGTCTTGACAGGAAGAAATCGTGAACGAGGGACATTAATTCCTGCAAAAAGAAAAATAGAAAATAACTTAAAAACAATCTTTGTTATAGATGAGGAAAGCCAAGAAGCAAATTATAAACAATTTCAAACCATATACCGCATGCTCCTTTAAAACTCTTGATAGCGGCACCAGCAGCAGTTTCTAGCTGTATCACATCAACACCACGATCCAGATGTTTTGGATTAACAATTACTTCCATTTCCAATTCTTTTTGTTCAACTACTCGCTTTATTGCATTTAATTTAGCCCATAAGTTGTTTGTATTAAATATCCTAAAGTATTTTGAAGTAGCGTATTTCATTTGATTTGAACTAAGATTGAATTTGTGTGGTACTAAACGAACCTGAATTTGCTTACGCTTTTAAATTCATCAACATAATCTTTTGGCACTTGAGCGATTTCCAGTAACATTAACCGATCCTCGTACTGAATCAGAGTGCCACCCTGAAGATCTTAGAGAGTGGCTTCACAACTGAACGAAAGCATACCAAGAAAATTTCTATAATTGCTTCGATTTCATTAAAAAATAAATTAACTTTACTGTAAAAATTTTATAAATTAACCTTAATATCGGCTCGAGTCTTATCAGTAACTTCCATCACAAATTCTGGCTGATGACCGTTTACTTCCTGTACAATGAAATTCAATACATTCATATCAACCGTTGCACCCATGTTATCAATATTTGACAGAAAGCAGAACTGAAATAAAGATAAATTCAGATGGAATGCTAGTGAACATTTGAATTTCTTATTTATGTCTGCATGTATATATAAAAAAAATTATGAACTAAATATTACAAAATTATTAAAAAAGAACTAATTATTAAACTGATTATATCATGAACATACAATTTGATTTACTTTCATCAAACCAAATGTTGAGTACTTGCTTAAATTTAAATAAAAACAATTCTAGTATTCGTGTTAAAACATCTATCTGAATATATAAGAGCAAACTAAACTATAGTTATCCTGAGTAATTTTAAAATCTAACAGAATTATTCGATGCGAAATATCGAAAGCATTATGAAATATCTCACCTGTTTTCCATCCTGAAGGAACTTGTCCAGAAGTCCAGAATTATAAAATGCTTCATAAAAATTACCATGACCGGGTGGGTACCACCTAAAAATTTAGTAAGCTAATAGCTTGGAAAATTCAATAAGCTTATGGGTTTAATAAAGAAAAGATACACAAAGTGCAGTAATAATATAAGTAAGCCAACTTACTCATCATGATCACTATCAGAAACATTTTTGACAATCGGCATGAGTGATTCTTTCAATATTCGCGGATATTTGGACTGACAAAAAGAGTGTACATCGACTTGCACATTTTTGTATTTTCTCAACAATTTCTTCGTATCTTCGTCCGTATTAAACGAATTCATTAAAACCAATGGTACATTGACATCATAGGTACGATTCATGTTCTGAAATCTGTTATACTATCTAACAACACCACGTATACATGTGAGCATGCACAAATACATGGAAAATTTTTATTTTGCCATTATTATTAAGCATATTCACTATCCAATTATATTTGATATTTAAAACACCTTTGTCATTATTCGTGAGGAAGTTAAACTGTGCAGCAAGTATGATGCAAGTAAAACATTTTTAACGTCGTAAATGAGCAGTCAATACGAATGAATGAAAAGTAAAAGTAAAACTGAGTGAAAAAACTGCTCTGATAGAATAATATTATTTCTACTAAATAATCTACCTAAACCGTTGAAGAAATTTTTAAGTCACTGTGTTTTGTTGACTGATGACATATATAACTTCATAAGCAGAAATTTTCATGATTAAAATGAAATAAACTCTGAAACACTCATATTTTCATCAATTTGTACCAGAAAATTTGATCAAACCTGAATTTGCTGCAATGTCAAATCGAGAAATGTGAGGTCATTTCGAACTGAAATCATAGATTTTGGACCTTTACAACCCATTGATGTACCCAAACCACCATTTAACTTTACAACAACCAATTTGCTCAGGCGATCTGACACCAAATCTTTGCTTGGATCATGCAGCTTTAACTGCAATAATTTCTCAACGAAATGAAAAATGGTAAGAAACGAAGAAAAATGATACAGTGTATTTGCAAATACAGACAATACCTGCCGCACATTACATCTAAATCTTCTCATGTTTCTTAACACGGAAACCTTTTAATTTTCTCACTGGATCAAAAGCAGATCATAATAATATATTGTGAAACTGTATAAAATAGAATTAATCAGATATGTGAAACGAATACCTCTTTATAGGATATAATTGCATTATCGGGCAGTGGTTGAATTTTTTTCCATTCAATAGTGGTTTTAGCTCGTAGAAATCGTGAAAATAAGACGCGGAAGCAATCCAATTCTTTTTGTACAGCCTAAAAACTTCTGGTACTGAGGCTGCTCAAAACAATATGAAGGAATTTTCTTAATCATTAATCACTAAAAATATGGAACAGATCTTAAAAATTATTCTTGTCATGCATCTGACACTTTTTTTTTTCACTAATGAAGATATTTTAAAATTGAAACTTTGAAAAATATGATGGAATTATTTACAAACATATCTGCATCATTTACTCCTCCTAAACTTATAAATAGAAACCTTTCATTAACAGTATCCGTTGCATAGAAATGACGAAATTTCAGAAGTCTTATATCCATTAAAGAACAGGAAAAAAAATTTCTTTTGAACAGTTCAAACAGACCTCTTTCTGGTCGGGTGGTGCTGTTTCTATGAGATTCCTCAGTTCCTGCTCCATTCCTAGAAGAGTTTCGCGTTTGGTTGATGATTTCCATTCTTCCGAACTCTAAAAAATTTTAAATATCGAGTGTAAATATTACTGGGAAGGATTTCAAAATAAGTAAATAATTTAATTATCCTATCTTTCTCACAGTGAAAATGTAAAAGAATGAGCAAGAAAAGAAAATTAACAAGTGTGGTTGATGTGGAAATCTAAAAAGGACAGCTTGTTCTCTATCGATTTTCAGTTAAACTCTTGAATGAAAAAATATGAAAATACTTGAAGAGATCATATCACTTCATTCATGGAAGGTATACAGTGAGATGTAAAGCTCAAGGCAGGAAGACTGGCACTGAAGCAGTAAAGTAATTCAGATCAGAAGTGAATAAGATATTGGTACTTGATCTCTCGATCGCTAATCAGCATCTTAGCAAACTGATGATACAAGCTTCTACACTAAGAAAATCGAACAAAACTATTAGGACAGCTTATGAAAAACTACAAAAACTGTAAGGAAAAGAGTAAATGGAATAAATAATCCTCTAGACTCATAGATCAATCGATGAAAGTTTTTGAGGGAAAAACCATTAGAAGATAGGAGCATTATTATGATTCATACGGAGATGCAATGACCTCTCACTCTAATTCACCTTTGACTTCGACATCTGATTCTTGACACACTAATTTTAGTGCATGACAGAGACAATAATTTATTAAATTTTTTTTTCCAACTTCCTGAACAGTTATGTTCACTTATTCTCATTTTATTCTTTCATTTCTCTCTCCAATCAAAAAAAAAAAAACTAACATTACAGCGATTCAACAGACAAATGATATTCTTGCAATTCCAATTTGCTGAGTAATTCTCATTATGACATTATAACCTTAGTTACGGTGAGGTGAAAAAAAAAATCAATTTAAGGTTGATAACATGAACAAAGGTTTGTTATTTGCCGTGCTCGAAAAATGCAATATTAAAAATTTTAATTGTGTTGAAACTTGAAAATATTCCAAAAATTACATAAGAGGAGATCATAGAAAGTTGAAATTCAGCTGTTCAGCTGAACATTAAGAAACATACAAATACAAATTTGGTAAGAAAAAAAAAAGAATTTCAATTAAAAAAAATTAAAACTTAGTCCTAAACGATGAAAAAGACCCAGAAACAATTAATTATATTTGCTAAGCTTATCATAGCATATCATAAAACCTACCAACATTGCTGCTTTCAATGTAAATGTTTGGTAAAACAATGAATGTAACAAGTATTTTAACGCATCTCGATTCGACCAATATTTACAATTCAAATGTGCAATAGAAAAATTGTGATGCCCAGGTGTATGCTAGGCGTATGCTAATGATTTCAAAAATTTAAATATCTTTTACGAGCATCTGATGAACTTTTTAGTCTGAATGTATCAGGCGCTTCAGTAACACTAAGCTTTCATAGAATAATTCAATACTGACTACCTTTTTTCCTGTTGTTCCCATATTTCAGATGAAAGCAGAATTCGAAAGCAGATGCAAAACCTACTATGTTTTAAGGATACCACGTATCTTCATCAAGAACGAAATTGACAATTTGTAAAGAGACATTTTACCTTATCAATTTCTTTCTGCATCATATTTTCGACCAGAACTGATTTCAGCCCTATAACCGTGAACGGCGATCAGCTCCGAAAATAACTATCCTTCAAATGCTAAAAATCAAAGTTCATAATTCCTTTCGGCACGAATACTTTGCTCCGTCAGGGATAAAACATTACAACGGCTGATGTTTGCTTCCTTTCTTGAATGATGTAAAAATTGAAAAAATTTTTACATCCAACTTTTTCCAGAACTACAACAGCTTGTCATTAAGAAATTCCTACATATCACATAATAATTGAATCACTGTAGATGTTAAATTACACACTAGGACTATAAAAACATCGAATTTACTGAAATTGATTTAGAGTACTAATCTTAGAATATTATAAAACTGATTATATAACTTCAAGACACAAATAGTAAGGACAGTGAGAATAACAAGTACTGGTTCAATAGACAAGTGTAACGAAAGCCATTACAGTTACAGGTAGTTTTTTTTTTTTTTTTTTATTATGATAAAAATACAAATAATGGAATATTTCATTCCCAACGATAAAAGATCGGAAGAGATGAACTTAAATAGGCAATAAATGAGTTTTATTTTCCATTTAAATCAAAATTTAAATATTGGAATACGACGAAGTTCTGTTCAGCACCTCAATTAATATGACTGCCAGTTTTTTTATTTCAAATATTTAAATACAGATGTACTAACGATTAGATGATGGTGAACAGTGCTAGTAAGTACAGTGTACACGTGAAAGACAAAATATCAAAAAAGAGACAGGAATAGTTAAATTGGAAATTGTAATATTGATTTTAATAACTCAAATCCATGGAAAAAATTGATCAAGGAAAACTTCTTATGAATGGTGAGAGAATACTTCAACAACATTTCTAAGCTCTTCTTTTCCGAAATACGTCTACATATACCTTCCGAAATACATTGGCGATGCTTAACTTTTTATTATGTAACCCATAGTTTATAGCAGGCTTTGAACGCAAGTGATCAATAATATCAATAATATAAGATAAACATTACGAATAGAGGTTAACAACAAAATGAATTGAAAGATCTGACGTCGTAAACATATGTTGAATGTAAATTCCTCTACGCACTACTTTCTGTCTTATCTCGATGAGTTCAAAACACATGATCACAAAAAACTGGTAGTCGCATTAAAAGATCAAAGGTACATCCAGCAAGGAATGCACAAAAAGTACATTTTATAGCCATTATCACAATTATCTAGAGTTAAATACATAAAATTACTCCGTCATGTAATCGTATGAACACTAATTGGTGAATTTCTGAAATAAACAAACAGTCAGTGCAGTTAACTAGTGAGTCCGATCAACTTTCTGGACAGAATATAAAAGGTATACCTGAACTGTTGAATAAAGAACAGATTGAAAAAAAGAACGAAAAAAACCTGCATTTCTTAAAGCTTCACGACGTTTATAGACACTGCTTAGAGACGCGAACATACAAATTGATTAGCCTCAATATAATTTTTATAAATTTTGCTAAGGAGACAGCAAACTTAGCTTACTAAAAAGCCTATATATTGAAATTCATTAGAAAGATAAAAGAGTTTAACGGTATTACTCCCAAAAATTCGAAAAATTAATGAATGTAAAGAGATACTAGAACAGATGCGAACAAATGCACTCACACCAAAAGTTAAGAATTGAAACAGCAAAGATGGATAGCACTATTCTTTCAAAGAATGTGAATGTGAAAATTTCTGATAAAAACTACTGTTTATCACTGAAGGGAAGCACTGAAAAAAAAAAACAAATCAATGGGCTGGAAGGGAGGGGCAAACTGTGAAGAATGGATCATTTCACTTTGAAGTAAATGTTAGCTAATGAAAAATACCTTATGTTACTCGACATGACTGCTCACCACAAAATAAAGCTTTTATCAGCAGTGAAAAAATTCACACTACGGTCAACATTTTCTTTTGATTATCAGATGGATCATGGTGCACCGATCTATGTAAGACGTTCTCGTAGTATTAAATTACCTATCGACAATTCAGTGGAACTATCAAACTTTGCGCATTATACTAATTTCCTCGGAAACCCATTATATTCAGAACTACACGTTGCAAATATAGCAGGATGTAACATTTAAAATACCCAAAGAGTTACCCAGTCTCTGATTAAGAAATTTTTCATTGCGTTAAAAATAATTTTAATCATTAATAGATGAATGGTTGACAGTGCATGCTTGCAGTTAACAAAAGGCAAACAGCAACAGGTAGTCAAAGAACCTGATTTCTTATCGGAATCTACTGGTTGTTGTTATTTGAGAAATAAAAAAATACATATATATACTGAGGTTCAGCGACTCGGAGACAAATGTTATATAAGACAGTAAAGTGATTATGATAAACATTGCATAAGACAGTTATCTATTAAACTGAACTTTCTCAAATAGATTTTATTATAAGTAAGCTTAAACGATAAAGGTTCCTCCAGCGTAATGGAATTCAAGCTGCTAAAAAGCTGTCTCATTTATTGATTATGAAAGTGAGGGTTGACATTTGTCAGTAAGAGATACCGACAGGTTAGAATGAATAGTCGAATAAAGTACCATAATTTTTTGAAATATTTCAAATCTTAACTAAGTAAATGATTGTTTTCGTGCATTGAAATCTCTAGATTCGAAATGAATCCATAATATTTGAAATTTAGTCTTACATAGTCCTCCCAAACTTCAAAGACAATATTTCGAATTTAAGGGAAACGATAATCAAGCAACCTTAAGTGCACGCTCTCGAAGATGGCCAGATAGTCCAGAATTAAACCGATAACGATCGCCTTTCTCAGCCATTCTGTTTGACAGCAGATGATACTTCAGCCTAAAAAAGTACAATAAGACAATATGAGTAGCTTCTCCATAAGTTAATAAAGAGTTAATTTCAGTGTCATCGGGATTCCGATAATAGTACCTTCAGAATTTCCGCTTTTGCTTATACAGTTCACGGGTTCATAAATGAATACAGAAACAAATGCAAAAACTAAGGTAGTATATTACTTAACACAAATTAACTACAACAATTTACTTTTGCTTGATATGCAGATGCATACGAATTCGTGTGCATCCTTTTTCTAAGAAGAATTAAGTGAAATAACTCAAAAACTTTCCCGCCTTCTGAACGAAAAATTTCACAGTATCAGTCAACCACTTTAATGCAACATTCAGGACCTGTTCCAAAAGTTCTAAAAGTGCAATAAAAAAAATTGTTCCAAAAGTGAAATATGAGGAAAAAAGGTTGCAGTCAAAAGTATGAAGAATGATTAAAGAAAAAAGGTAAATGATTACAATACTTTGAAGCTTGTAAAATAAATGAAACAAAGGACATAAATCGTCAAAATGCTGCTTTTGAGAACTCCGTTAAAAAAAAATGATAAATGAAATTCAATAGATATAAGAAATTTAATATGCTGATAAGCAATAACATGATGCTAATAACAACTCTCTTTATGCCTTTTCAGCACAGCAACAATTTTTACACTCCTTCTTAAGCACTTTTAAATCGATGTAATATCTTTATCCATATTCTTTGACAAAAGCAAATATTACGAGATATAGTGGCAAAATTGAGCAAAACTTTTGATTTTCATCGAATTAATGGAGTAAAGAATACATAAGATAAACAATCAAAGTTATTAATGTAAAGACCGCTTAATGATACAACAAGTGTAATATATATATGTGAGGCAATATTTTGAAGGAGATCCTTCATCTCATTTTCTTCCAAAGAAAAATTTGATGTAAGTGAGAAGGCATCACAAGAAATGTAAATTCAAACTTAGAAGAATCATCGAAGTTAAAAATAACATGATTTAGGTCCTCCATTGTGTACTGGATCTATATACTCCATGAAGTGAAGAGCATTCTACAGCATCGTATTCACCAAACTGGGAATCTCAAACTGAAAATACCTCAAAAGAACTTTATTTCGTTCGCATGTCACCGTCTGACGATAATGTCAAACTCAGTTCACAATACATCATTTCATGTAGTGCATTATGACGTATATGTTTTCGATAATAAAAGTTTTAACGGCAGAACAGCTGTTATTGAAGAAATAGAACCAACATTTCAATGAAGTGGGGAATTACTCCGTGCAAAAGAAAGAGAAGAAGCAATGTTCAGTGATTAAGTTCATTCAAAACATTGTAACGAATGTCCTTGCAGCCAGTTGTGATGATCAACACCTGATAATTCACTTTGAACATTGCCACCACCTTTCTATACTATTGCATCAACATAACGCGGAGAACTTTGAGATAAGGACAACACCTGAAACTATGCTCAAGCTCACCAAACTACCTAACATTTGTAACATCAGATTATGAAAACATATACCTGTTTACTGGTCACAATATCCTTCCCACCATCTCTCAAGAAGACACTCTTCCCAGTTATGATTAAATCGAAACTGCCAATGAATCTAGGCGATTGTGAGCTGCTTAGAAACAATTGCTTTCCCTTAACAAATGTGATGTGCTTAGAAACAATTGCTTTCCCTTACCTCACACTTTAAACAAAATATTTTATTAAAACCTCTGTCAGCCATGCACACCAGACTCCTCACTTTGGATTTCTTAAAAAGCTTGGATTGAATTTAACATTTTAATACTTGACCTGCAAAGCTTAAACAAAATATTTTATTAAAACCTCTGTCAGCCATGCACACCAGACTCCTCACTTTGGATTTCTTAAAAAGCTTGGATTGAATTTAACATTTTAATGCTTGACCTGCAAAGCTTAAGAAGCGGTGAATGCTCACAGAATATACAGAATAACGAATATGAAGATTAAGAACGGTATTTCATACCAACAAAACACAGTGCGCCGAATGTAGTATTTTAATAATTCGAGTAATGAAACTATGTATGAAATTATTAATTCAAAAAAAAAAAAAAATCTCTCCTTTCCCAATCAACATCTAAGCAATATGTGGTAGAATATAAAAAAATCCAGCGGAAAGTAACGACATTATTACATGCTTTAAAAAATGCTACTCTCGTCCCTAAGATTTCAGGCTTATACTCTTTTCTTCATTTTCCAACACTTCATTCTACCATGCATGCATTTATCTATCACACCGAATTTACCAACCAAATAGTGAAAAAAAAGTAGTTTAATTTTCTTCCAAATAAATCCATATTAGTCAATTTAAGCAAACGGAAAACAAAAAACTGCAACTTCATATAGCAGATCATCGAACTAAGAAACAACTTATGACCAGTTAGTGATTTCGTTTTTCTAAAATCATAATCACTAGATCAATAAAAATAAATGAACAGTCAACTACACAACAAATTCTTTCAAAAAATCAGGAAACCGCGATTATTCAGCTCTTTCCAAAATTTTCACAGAAAATACTGCATTATCACTGACCACTTCTACCACGTGACTGAAACAAACGGTTATTGTTAAGGCCTAATTTGACCCAATTTCTAGAATTTATTTTCTTCATATATCGCACATCCTTCGCTCGCTGCACTGCCAATGCCCCTGAAAACAAAACAGATTTAATTAGAAATAATGCAAAGACTCATTCATGATGATTTCTTAGCATATACCCAACAACCACTACTCAAAATTTATTCCAGAAACAAACCAGATGTTCCCTTCCAACCCATCTCTTTGTACTGCCCAATCATCACTTTTTTGAGAATCTCTTTTTTTTGACGGTCGCTTCTAGTTCCATATTCTACCGGTCTCAAATGCTGTCTATAATAACGTACCAATGAACGATGTCCAATTTCTGCACCTAAAGAGTTTGGAATAAAAAAACTAACGAAAGGAAAAATCACAATATCCCAAAAATTTTTTAAGTTAGAATGAATTTCCACCAACCTGATGGCAAAGTAAGTGTATACCCATCATCCACTAAAACGATAGGATAAGATTTATCAATGTCTTCCTCTTTTGGATACATGGAACTGAAATGATTAACAAAGCTGTCATATATTTTGCAATAGCAATCAATATATCACATATTCACATTTAAGGAACTTACCTATAATCATAAAAGTCTTCAAACTCGATCATTTCCTCCACAGTACGGGCAACACGACAATGTCCCTTATCGCGCATGTGTTTCTGGCACGCATCTAGTGAGTAGAACTTCTTCTGTTCGTTACATACCAAGCACATATTACCACTACCAACTTTTAAACCTCAAACATTTCTTTGTAGAAAGCATTAAAAAAAAAAAAAAAAAAAAAGATTTAGAGAAAGTATGAACGAATGTAATGTAGCTAAGTTTGCAGTAAAGAAGTGTAGTATTCCAGGTACCTGCAGTAGGCCTTACATAAAGCCAGAATAACAACAAAAATAAAATTACCTAAATAATATAACATGCCACCAACATCTGTGCAGAATTCCGCATCTGGAAGGAAAAAACCATGCAGTACACTCATATGTATCAAATTCGTTTCCACATCGTCCGAACCATAATTGCAAAACAAACAAACTGTTTCCGGAATAACCTGCAAAAAAAAAAAAAAAAAAAACCTGTTTTCCCGTTACAAATCCATGTGATGGATTGACGTAACATTACACAAAATCAACAAGCCACCTTCGATTCATCGAAATCTTCGTCAGTATCATGATCAGTAACCCAACCGTCACAATCATTCTCCTGAATGTCTGCCTCATCGAAATGATTGTAATAGAAGTCATCTATTTTTTTCATGACACATGCTTTATTCGTTGCCCTCTAGAAATTACAGTTAATTCAAATTTTTAGATTTGAATTTAGGATCAAGTTTATGTCGAAAAGAATTGTGAATAAATAAATAGTGCTTTTTAAACATATCTGTTTTCCCAGAACCAATATGTATGTACCATGGCATTTCTTTTGAAGAAGCGTGTTTCACTTTCTTTATGTTTTCTAGAACTGAGATGATTATCGTAAGCGTTTGCTGACTGAAACCGTTTGCTACAACATTTACAAATAGCCACTTTTGTTTCAGCATTTTTCTCGTCATCTGTCTGAAAATTAACATCATAAATTAATGAAGTGATTAATAAAAAAGGAAAGAAAAAGAATCGAGACCGCAGAATTAAAATCACTGTTCAAATGAAAGTCTGTGCTGGATATAGAAAATCACCACTTTTAAATATTTTGAAATAGAATTAAAATTAGTGATTTTCAATCAATAAGCAGCTAATTCAACACAGACAGTTGGACCAACTAAAACACTTTTCTTTTAAATCACTACTCATTCATTATTTGTTCCTGACGCAGTAATATCTAACGGTTCCGAAATCAATCTAAAAAAACACCAAAACTGCTTAAATCTCTTTACTTCGGAAGTCTTCCCTCATTCTAAATAACTTCTTTATTCTATGAAAAGAATACCCACACTTTACATCAGTACAATCTTGACTTTTTAACTTACTTCATCAATAAAAAAAAAACAATTTCAACCAGAACGGTTGCAGAAATATATTACAGCGCACTGTTATATGGATTGATATATAAACTATGAATATATAACCGCTTAAATTGAATTAAATCTATAATTAGACGAAATAACTAACTTCTTTTTTGTAAGCAATAATTTTTTGCCTAAACTGTTCTTCAGTGACAATAGGGAAACCAGTAATCTGAAAAAAGCTAGATGAAATATCAATAGAAAATGTTTGCATATATACTTCATATATTTTACATGCAACAAATAAATATTAAAATTGCAACAAATTAGAACTTCGTAATTTTCATAACTGTCATCCTTGATACCAGAAGTAAAACAAACAATCTTAAACTAACTTTTCGTTTGAGATTGTAACGGTGCCAGTCTGTTTTATAATGTTCTCGTTGTAGATCATTATTTGCGAACACAGACTGACAACATAAGCAAGTAAGACCATCCGAAGTGTTCATAGCAAAAGGTTAGAAGTACTGAAATTAGCAGTTAACAACAGATGCCTGGAAGAGCCCCACCAAGAAATTGAATGAAAGTCGAACAATAACTCTGAAGATGAATTCTTGAATCAACTGCATAAAACTCGTGCAAAATTTTCCTTACTTAACGCAGCAAATTCACCCCCAACAAACTATTCAGTTACTTTTCTTTTCATTCAGAAACGATAATTCCAAATGGAATTAATTTTCAGTGTTACCAAACGGTTCAAAATGATTACCATTAAATATACAGAAAATGAATGGTATAAAGAGAAGTTCATCACTAAAAGATGATAAAGACAAAATACCTACGTGGTTTAACTATATGTATGTTTAGAAATCCTCGGTCCCTGTGAGGTATATCTCTGGTTCACACGAAAATTAATGTCCGTATGGACGGAATTGTTGAATTAATGCCAATAAGCGTACAAGTGTGTTAGATATACAGCAACACATAACAAGAAAACATTTCAAATATGCCACCTGTAATGATACTGTCACGAAGGAACCAAACAGATAATGGAATTGACCACCTGATCAAAGCCTTCTACCACCCATCCCACTTGAAAAGCAAGCACCAATAACCGACTACAATAGTTGCACCCAACCCGTACATCGATTTTTTACCGTTTCTTAGCGAATCGTATCTAAACCAGAAAAATATTTCATACTGGCTGCACGATGTCTTTCTAAGTTCTGTACAATCTGTTACAACTTCATTCTTTTGGCGCAAAATTTTTATCTTTGAAATTTATTGAAATTTTTGTTACAAAAAGGTCACGGTGATGCGTAGAGGACTGAACGTTTCTTGAGGTCAATTACACATTGCTCACTTCAAGTAAACAAAATACAAAATTTCAGGATTTTGTTGTTGCTGGTTATGGGAATACACAATTTGTTGCCTTTCGTGAAGAAAGCATGTCGTCAGGTGAACTTTTTAGATGGATTTAATTTCATTTTTCAAGAAGAGCATATATCTTTTGGTTTAGTTATTTGCTTACTTTCGAAAGTTGGGCAATGTTCACATCGAGAGAGCAATATTTAAAATATTAAAATGTTATATCACAACCATGGTTTTTTCTTATAATTCCACATGTGTTTCTTTTCAGTTAGAACCTGCGCATTTCCATGTCCCTTCTATGACAAGAATTATTCGATGTATATTATTTGTAATATTGCGAAATTCACTTGTTGATGCAGCGGACTAGTTTTTTTAGGGAAATATCAGTGAATTTGCGCATCAGTCAGTTGCTGTGGATATTAGTTGTCTGCTACATCGAGGATTGATTGGCTGTGCTGACAAAGTTGCTCAAGGATGTGAAACCGATTTGTTAGTTTCTTTTGTGCGGAACTCACTACTTCAATTTTTCACATGATCGTCTGAGAGTCTAAGTATTTGGATTTTGCCACTAGAAATCACGAAATTCATGAACCAGTCTCTTTAAAGAAGTGTAAAATTCCTAAGATTCGCTTCCAATTTCCTACTTCGGGAAAATGGCGTTTCAATCGTATGTACTGTGGTGTTTTGTCCTCGATTTACTTTTTCTAAAGGTAGCTTCTGTTTCACCGCCAATGGTGAAAGAATTATTAATCCCATTTCTTTGTAATTGCATTGTTCTTTTCTTTCTTGACTCTGATGTAACATTCTTCAGCTATATACGCTACGTGCTTAAATACGTGAAGGCTTTACTCGCAATTGGTTGTCACGTTATCCTTGTTTTCGATGGACAAATGCTCCCTGCTAAAAAAGTTCGTTTAATTATAGTTATACATCATTAAGTCATTGATGAAGCAGATTTGGTTACTTTTCCAAGTTGTTAATTACAGGAAACTAATAACTCACGACGCGAGAAGCGTGATTTTCATAAACAAAGAGGTGATTTATTGATGAGCGAAGGTAGAGCAAGTGAAGCTTACAATTGTTTCAAGCGTAGTGCTACATTGACACCGAAAGTGATTGAAAATGCCATTCAGGTAAAAATGATCCTTTGAACTTTAAGAAGTTATATATATATATCACTCAGCAGAGTAAAATAAGAAAATAAGATGAATCAATAACAGATGTTGAATATTTAGTAAACAAATTATAAGCAGATTTCAATTACGTTTAAAGTGAATTAAAAACTTCAGTTTCGGATTAAAATTCACTGACAGGTTTGCATTTTTTAATGGCTTATTTTTTGCTCAATAAATCAAATTCGTAAATTTTACTTATATTATTTGTCAAGCAACATACCAAAAAAAGATTGAACAGCATTTTTTATTTGATTTATTGTGCAAGCTCAGCAATTAATAAATGTTTGCTTATTGAAGGCATTTCGACATCTAAACATGGTTGATGTTATCGTAGCTCCTTATGAGTCAGATGCGCAGCTGACTTTTCTGACTAAAACAAAAATGGCGCAAGCGGTAGTTACTGAAGATTCTGATCTTATTGCTTTCGGTTGCGAAAAAGTTGGTCGTCTTTTTTATTCACCATTTGATAAAAGCGATAGTGCGGGATTGATTCTGGTTGAAGACTTAGGTGATTTTCATTTTTATTAAAGATTTTTGTGGTTCAACTCAAATCTTTAACAATTCTTTTTTAGTGAATTTCTAAACTTAAATTTACAGATAATTTTCAAAATGGATCCTAATGGATCTTGTGTTATTTTCGATCAAAGTTTATTACCAAAATGTCTGTGTAGGGCACTTGCAGAAAATTTTGATTTTGACAAGTTTCGAAGAATTTGCATTCTTTCTGGATGTGACTACTTGCAAGTAAGATTTATGAATTTTTGCAGTTAAGTTAGAAGATAAAGATTTGGAATGTAGAATAGTCTTTCAACTATTCAAGCAAAAAAACTGCCGTATATTGTGCTTCCTTTAGCAGAATGTGCAATTATGTGCTGTTGAAATGAAGCCTTTTATAAGATCAAATGAAGTCAAGAAAAAGAAGACTAGAAAATAGTACGATAGTAACAATTCTCGCTTAATTTTCTGTAAATTTGATAATCATATTAAAATGTGGGTAAAAAATTAAAGAGAGATCTTCGTGATTCTGATGAAATTTTCAACTAATTTATAGACTCTTTTGGTAAGTTGATTTTGGCTAACAAATATATTGTTCAGTTTTAGGCGGGTCTTCCTGGAGTGGGCTTAAATAAAGCAGCAGCTTTTTTCGCAAAAACCAATGGTAGAAATTTGTACCAGGTAAATGAAAAACATATCATCAAATGCTTCATTTTTGAAAAAGTATTTTTGTTCTTTTTCAGCATCTTTTTTAGGTTCTACCTCGGCTTCCACGATATCTCAACAAAAATTCCTTAAAAGTGACTAAACAGTTTATCGACGATTTCATTCGTGCCGAAAATACATTCCTTTATCAGATTGTTTTTGATCCGGTTGAGAAACGTCAGCGCCCATTAAATGAATATCCGTTAAATCAACAAAGCAATGAAGATGATAGGGAAGTGGGTATCAGTGCAACTCTTTGACTAGATTTAAATTTTAAATACTGAAGTAATCTTAATATTTATAGTTTCATTCAAGTAGCCAAGAAAGCGATAATTATTTTTCTTACGCAGGAAGTATTCAATCACCAGAAATTGCTACAAGGTTTGCTTTCTTGAGACCTAGATTTTATATTATTATATCCTAATTTATTCGTCTAAGAAATGCCAATTTTAGTTTTGCCTTGGGGAATATCCCTGGCAGTTCTCAAATTGAACAAATAACCTTACCTGAAAATGTGCCTGATTGGTCCATTTGGAGTTCCAACTACAAAACTGCAGAAATGCGACGGAAGGAAAAGTACGACGAGAAAATCAAAAAAAAATCATCTTGTGGTGCATTTGTGGTAGCTGCATATTATCCAGTTTGAAGATTTTCTATTAATTGAACAAATATATCTGTATATATAATATATAGAATTCATCTCAGTTTCCGAAATATATATGTATAATATTTTATATATATATATATATATATATATATATATATATATATATATATATATATTTCGTATTTTATTAATTACGATTTTTATGCTCATAATATTTTATTTAGCTTAAATCGCCTCGACCGCCACCGTTACATATTTCCAATTCTTTATCGACAATGGGTTCAAAGATTTTGGCAAATAGTTTAGCTGATGACAACGATGACTTCGTTTCGTCAGAAAAGATTAAGGATTTACATAAAGTTTGACATAATTCATGAAATAAACATTTTTGCTTTTTTAAAAATAATACGAAGAGTTTCTTGTAATATAAATGCGTTTTTTTATAGAAAGTACTGATGGAAACTTCAAAAACCGATCAAATTTTAACAAAAACGGACTATAAATTGACAACTGTCCATTCCATTGGTGTTACAAAAAGTGGGAATGGTGCTCGTCGAAATTGGAATTGTGATCGTCTATTAAAAGAATTTGCTATTACAGCAAACGTGTCACAGAAAAATGAAAACTGTCATCATGGTATAATTTTGAATTTATCTTTCAAATATTTTATCTTCTTTTTTTTGGAAAAAGTCACTGTTATTTAGTTTATTTATAGCTTCGTTTGAAGTACCTGTCAAAAAGCCTCGCAAAACCCTTGAAGATGACCGTGTTAATGAAGAAAGCCATGGTAATGAAGGTATCATACCAGTCATGTCAGTAATGGAAACTCCGTTTAAAGCGCCAAGGGGCAGCATATTTAGTAGTAAATACTTTTTGAACAAAGGATCAAGAACGAGGTCTGTAATTCATGAATGTTTTACGTGAATTGGAAATGAAATTGTTCATTTATATCAGATGAATCAGAACATCTGAGATTTTCACTGAGATTCGAAAATATGATTTACAATTATTTTTCCTAAAATTTTAGTGGTCTTTCACGGCGCTTACTTTCTTTACGTACTGTACCTGGTGTTTCTCAAACAGAATTGTCTCAGGTAAGACCCATATATTACTTTCTATAAAAGTGTTTCTTACATAATTTGATTTTCTGCTTCAAATTATTTTATTTTTCTTAGCAAGGCAAAAGTAAATCGTATTGCCTATAAAAAGCGATTCATATTTCATTAGATCATATTGTCATGATAAATTCCTCTGTCATTGCAGATCGATAGCAGTGGATCCCAGGATGTTCCAGAAAAATAAATTCGAATATGCTGGAAGAAAAGTGATATTTTAGTGAGAATCTCAACTGTTTCAAACGCCGCTTTCAATTTTCAGATGAACTTGTTTTCAAAAAAAGGATGCTGCAGCTTCTTGTGGTCGAGCTCAAAGTTAATTCATGCCTTTTTAGAACATCGTGTTGGATTTTGGTGGATTTTCTTTCTAGACAAGATAAATAAATTCGCTAAATTTTTTATCTTAAACATCACTACTATTATGCAAACGTCTAGAGTCTCTCTACTTTTCAACCTAATTTGCTTTCAAAATACCGTAGAATTTATGCATATTAATATTTTTTGCTTATGTCTTTACTTTTCTTGGCTGTTAGCCATAACCATAATTTTTTCACCATAAGTTTTTGCAACACCATTTGTTTTTCACTGAACTTTCCGCTTTTGTTTCACAGATGATAAATTTTTAGAGTATAGCACATTGTAAAAACTCCATGATTATTTAAACATTTATTTCTACTGTTTTGACCTCACTCACATTTGTCAAAAAATATTATAGGAGAATTTGTGGCTGTCGTACTGAACCTCGTTGTGAGCAGTAGTAGCAATTACTTACTTGTCGTCCTTTTATTAATTAGTAAATGTATAACAAAATTAAGAACTCCAGAGGTTCAATGATTTTCCAGAATTACCGATTCAGCTTGCCACCACTGTCTTCATCTGTTTTACCGCGTTAATGCGCAAGTATTCTGAAAGTGTGATATCGAATTGCTGGTCACCAAAAATAATATTTAGACGATATTCTTATACATGTGACAGAGATCCAGAAATAGCAAAAATTAATGAATGACATGTTTAATTTGATTAAACAGCACAGCCCGGTCTCATTAATCAAATAATCATTGGGCTAATTTCATCGTCAAGCTCATTCTTATGTGCCTGAAATTACATCATCTCCAATATATCGATTTTTTAGAAGTTGCAAGGAAAGTTGCAAATAAAGGTTTTAAAATTTCACTGGAGACAGATTCTTGTCCGGTTGGCTGGCATATTTCATTGCTGGCTTAATATAAATAAGTGGGAGTGAATCGTGGCTTAAGTTCAATATTTTTTGCATAAAAAGAGTGGAATTTGGGAAAGTATGGAGTAGGATACAGTTAGTTTGTTGAATGAATTGGGTTGATTCATCGATTTATTTTAAAAAATTTCTTGGCAATTTTTATGAAAGAAAATCTAAATTAGAAAGGAAGAAATAAATTCTAAATTGGAGAAGAAATTAGAAAATCAGATGAAAGATGATGAACCGATTAAATTATTGCACATCCTATTTTTTGGAACAAGTGATGGTACACATTTACAATGATGTTTTTTGATATAATTGATAGACCTACGTTATTTAGAACCAGCACTTTCCATGGCACACATGTTTACAGTGCTGTGTTTATTGCTTCCCATTTTACTGTACCTCAATTCAGTTCCAGATTTGTTTACTTTTCATCTGAACAGAATGACCTTTGCGTTGGATGCTGCTAAATCTAGTAAGTTCGAAATAAAATATATGACATCGAATTCGCTTTTTTAAGATAACACCGTTCATTAAGGCAGCAGATAATAAAGTTGTAGCAAGGCTTAACGGGGTTGGATTACAATATATAAATGAGATCAAATTTTAAAGTGATAAAGTATGCTAAAATATTTTGAACGAAAATGAGTTGAAATGGAAATAAAGATATAGCATTTTACAAGCACATATGATTTTTGGAGAGAACGAATAACGACCATACTTCAAGACTAAGTTATTTTGATCCAAAATTTTAAGTTCCATTTTAGACAAAAGGTGCTACTACTTTCAATAATATTTCTCATTTTATTTTATTTCATTTTCCATCTATATATTTTAATTGATTTTTCTGATCAATGAAATATTTCTATATATTTTTTCAAACTTTTCACTGTGCATTCATTGATTAATGATTATTATATTATAATTTTTAACCGACACACCAATCACCATGCCTGTTTTAGGTCTAAAATCAAAACGATTTTAACGAATTCTAATTTCGAGTCCATATTATATTTATTTTGATTCTGGCGGACTTTCCATTTTCATGTGAGACCACTACGCTGATGTACCAATAATGAATGTTATTGGTACATTAGCAAACTTCTTGTAAGTCACCCAAAAGCCAGTAATCTTCATCCTTTTTTCAGGTCATTCAACAGACTGCTCAGATTCTGATATGAACTGCTTTACATGGGTGGTTGAAAATAGTACAAAATGCGATCTTATTAATGAGTTTCCAAATAATCATTGCAAAAAGAGCTGTCAGCTTTGCGGTTCTGAATTAATAGCCAAAGGTTGTATTTTTCAGGGTTAATAAGTGCTAATATTTTCTTATAATTTAATTGCAAAGTGAATAAAAGAGAGTAAATTTTCTTGTAAGTTATTTTGATTGAAACCTTTCAGAATATGATTTGAAAAAAGTACCAACAACTCTTAAAAAAGTAGCATTTCTGATCGGTAAATGGCGCTCTGAATTTGGCGGTAAAGCAGTTTTCCCAACAATTCCGAAAGTCACCTATGGAGAAGAGATTGATTTTAAATTAATTACCAATAGCGAATACGTCTTTGATGCTCTTAATTATTCGTATATGATTTTCTCATTTATTGGTGCTTTTTGATTCTGAACTATATCCGGAGCATTTTGCTGTTCACCAAATCTTATTTTTTCAATAGCTATCAGATGTTTTATAATTCATCGCTTTTTTTTTTCAGGCAGTGAATTCTAAGGTTAAAATTGAGAATTGAGCTGAGCAAAATTCTAAATTTAGCTTGCATTATTAAAATTTAAATTTTCAAACTTAATCAATAATGAAAATCCTAAAAAAGAAGAACTAACGGAAAATTAAAAAGAAGGACACCATGCCGCACTCCCTTCTCCTCCCCCCCCAAAAAAAATTAAAACCTATAACAAAAACATCAAAATAAAGCAAGTTTTTTTCTAAAGAAACTGATATTAATTTATAGCGCGACAACATGGGATAGCTGGGACGGGAAGGAAATACACAGTGAATACGGTTTTTTATCGGTTGTTACTGACAACGGTAGTAGTTTGATTTCACTAAATACGATTATGAGCAACGGTAGATACCGTTTTCCTTTCTTTTTTCTCTTATTCTACAATTTAATACTAATTTTTCTGCATATTCAATTTTAATTTTATCTTATTATGGTGCTACTACAACACTTCATTTGTGTTCAGGTTTTATCACCATTGAAGAAGGAGAAGAACGTGGTCTTTCCATTGAATTACGTATGCAACAAATTGCAAGAATTAGTTTCAGTCATGATCTTCCAGTCCTTAAGGTCATTCATTGTTGTAAAATTTTCAAAAGAGAATGAAATTTCTCATTCGGAATTTGACCTTATTAAAAAATGGACAGCTCATGGCTTTAATCATGGTTGTGTCATGTTAGCATTATAGATGTTGAGAAGCTGGACACTACTGGACGCTGCACATTTAGAAGCTCGTCTATCTATCAATACAATAACTCATCATGAGCTGACTGAGCATACAAGTATCATTTATAGTAAAATATATCCTTGATATGAGTGTTGTGACTGTAGTATATCCGTGTGCTAAGTATTTCTTGTGAAAAGTAAGAATATGATGAGTGATTCAAGTTTTGCTTATGAATTAGTCAAAACAGTTCAATACCAGCATACTTGCACATTACTAAAATCTGAAATACTTGTTTCTATGACTTTGCTATATAGCATTCATCTGCTGGATAGAATATTTCGTGTCAATAAATTGATCTTTTATTTCAATTTTATACTGTCAGTTTCGAAGATATCTTCATGACATGTCACAAGCAAAAAACCATAGGTAATCAATAAGAACAGAAATGCTTGGTGATTATGATTTTTTTCTCATGAAACATGAAATTACTTTAAACTTAAAATTTCTAAAATTGAAAAAATTTACAGCTTTAGTAAAAAGTTGTATTTATGGGAAAGGAACTAACATTAATTTACAAAAACTTTTATCACTTTTGCATCGATGAAAAAAAGAGAAAAAAGTTAACGAAAAATTTCCTTCCTATTCAATAAAAAAAGATGAATATACTATATTTCTCCTTGCAATCATTTTTCGGAATACAAATGCAATCATAAAACTGGAAGGTCATTTTTACATGCAAATGAAAATTAACAGGAAGCAATGCACCCAAAGCTGTGTTACAATCTTACTCCTTCTGCTTTACATGAATGATATAACCAGTGTGAGTGTGAGTCCTTTTTAATCGCAAAAAACTTTTATTCGTTTGCTCTTTTCATTAAAAAAAAATGAATGAATAAATTTCTGATTGGTAAAAGGACATTTATGAGGTGACCTCGTCCGATTATGAGAAAACGGCAAACAAAGAAAGGAAATGGAGTGCGGGAAGTAAAAAAGATCACAAAGACGTATGACGCATAAATTTAAGCATTCAACTTTCATCCATTCTTTCCTTTTTCCTTTTTGCATTCTTAACATTCTAACAAAAAGGTATTATGGAATAATAAATTGGAATTGCGTTAATTTCATCCCTACAACTGCCATGATATAATGTTATTCATTTACTTTAATGCTTACTTAATATTGCATAACAAAACGGGAAGATTTGAAAGGTTACTGAGAATCGGTTTCAAACAGATTTGCTTTTCATTTGCGACATTTGATACGAATCGTAGAAAATAAATAAGTGACCGAAAACATCTTACAACGATTTAAGTATTTCTTCCGTTATATTTTTTCGTTAAGAATTAGCTGATCATCGAACGGAAAGAATCATTCGGAATAAATCTAAATATTACTATGCACATTGAGTAAAACGTGACTGCTGTTTAAAGGATTATTACTCATACTGGACAACAATGAATGAATTAGGCATCAATAAATTGTTTTTGATATGAATAAATTATAATAGATAACAATTAATAATTGTGAGCAGGACGCTTTTTTCTGCTCGAAAATCTCGTTTTCATTT